GCAGCAGAATGTGCCAGATCCTGTGACGGACAACTGTGACAGTCCGAAGCCTGTGGCTGGGCCAGGAGACGCGTGACAGGCGCCAGTGGGTAAAGTATTTGGCGTTCTTGCGCCAAACGAAAAATCAAAATACTGTAGCAGTGGTTTTGTTTTTTGGGAGAGTGGCTATTTCCATGCTCATGGACTTCGGTGGGGCAAGTGGTTAGGATGCGAGTGATAAAGAAAAAAAGATATACATAGGTGTGTGTGCATGTGTGTGTATGCATACTATGGCCAAGTTTCTATTTCCAGTTTCTTTATTTGCTAGGGTGTACCCCTGTAGATTCCACGCCGGCTGCTCAGGCGGCCGCTGCGGCTCTCGCAGCCTCCGTCGCCTTCTTCAAGCGCCGGCCGGGTCGCCCGCCGCGCCCGCCTCCCTCGCCGCGGCCGCGAGGCGGGAGACTTTCGGCACAATGGTCGTCCTACCAAGTAGCTAGGTTCCTTTTGACCTGTAGGTCATCTTCCAGGTAGCCAATGGGCAATCACCTGTAGCCAAAGGGCAAGCACCTGAATTTGTTTCTTGGCAATCGGCCATGGCCAGTCTACTTGGCTGGCCATCCTACTTCGAAAGTAGTAGGTTAACGCCCAGGTTGCAAGTGGGACGCGGGTTGGAGCCATGGTTGCATACAACCCACTTATTCAGCAGGCTTCTGGGCTGGTTTCCGCACCCCCGCCCCAAACCCCGGATGAGCCCATGTAAACCTGTGAGGGGGGGAATTGATCAACCAGGTGTATTCATCCTGGGTCAACGTTTTTTGTCCGGGAAAAAGAGAGGGTATGCATACGGCGTCCAACGGCATTTGCCAATTTGCCACATTGGCGGCCTTATATACAGGGCATGGCTTGCACGTTGCTTCTTCTGATTTACCAGTGCCCTTTATGGCTGAGCTTTGTCACAAGAACATCATCAAACACCAGTGGGCTTGATTCAGTGTTTTTACATGTTTGTCGGATTGTGAGCGTGTACAAGATTCCTCCAGATGTTCAGTGGCACGCTTTGTCCCTTTTGGTTCAGCGGGTTCCCCACTAAACAAAGTTATTTGCAAGAAGAGTTCGGTCCAGAGAAAGGCCTTTCTTCACCAGGGTTACTGGGCTTTGGGCAACTTGGGATTTCTGAAAAAGCAAAAAGCGCATGCGTTGCTCTCAGGCCTCTTGCTGTTGCTGCAGGACTACACTCCGTGCCTTTGGTTCGCACTCAAACTGCTGGGCAAACCGCGGGCGTGAGGCTCTGAGGGCCACCCCGTGAGGCCAGCCATCCTCAGCATCGCCACCTTTGCCGCGGGCTCGGTGTCTCTGCGGTGCAGAGAGATGCCAATGCGATAGCCAATGCGCGCCCTAGGCATTTGTCCAAAAGACATGCAGAACTTTGTTAAGATGTTGGTAAATGAGTTCTTAATGCATGCATCAGATGTTGAACTGATGCCTCAACTGCCTTCCAGAACTCCAATGGACCAGATGTTAAAATGAGTCCACTTCCAGAAGTTGGCTGCAGGTCTTGTCCATCCTGCTGCCACAAAGATTGGTGGCATTGTTCTGGTCGCTCTTCGTGCTGCTGGCAGCGCAGCCGCGACGGAGGGAAGAGGTGGGATGGGGGTCTGCCACGAGGCCACGAGGATAGTCTAAGCCACTGGGCTGGGATATCCGCCCGTTGCACTCTGAAAAAAACCGTTTGGGTTGCAAGCTCCAGGTGTGCAATGGCCAAAGCTCACACGTCATGGCCAAGAACTGCGTGAGACCCAGGTCCAAGATATCTCCAGAAATGTCTGCAGGAAATTCGGGGGAAATTCCTCTAGGATGAATCCCTGTCTACTAGCCCAGGCGGTGTTGTCCAAGGCTGCAGTCAACCGAGCAGAGAGCCAGTGTTTTCCTGCTTTTGATAGTTGGCTTCTGAAGACTGAATGTGGATTTCGTCCCCACGTCGCCTGGGCCAGTGAAAGAGAACATGTTGAGGTTGCCTCTTCTTTGCTTTTGAGGGTTGCTTTCCTTGAACATTATTTCAGAAGGTACCTATTCTTTGAGCATGTCAGCTGAATGGACCCAGTTGAACGCGCATCCAACCACCTACGCATCCACCTGCCTATCAATTTGTTTGTCTCCCTCTCTCTGACAAACGCACCACCTGCAAGTCTCCCCCTCACAGACGTTCGATTTGTGTCCAGGTTCCTGCCGTGGATGCGGCGCCAGATCCAGGCAGTGCACAAGAAGAATCGGCAGCGAGATGGGGGGCCTTCTGTGGGCTTTGTTTGAAAGGGAAACCAGCATGTTTCCCCTAAATCAACCTCAGTACGGGCACCGCAAAGAAGGACAAGCCCCTTGTGGATTTCGTCCAAAATGGGAATATCGACACCCCGAGAAAGAAAGCAACCGACGCTGACCCGGTGTGAGTGTCTGTTTGTGTGTTTGCATGTTTGTTTGTTTGTTTTGTTTTGTTTGTTTTGTCTGTTTTGTCTGTTTTGTCTGTTTTGTCTGTTTGTTTGTTTGTTTGTTTGTTTGTTTGCTTGCTTGTTTGTTTGTTTGTGTTTGTGTTTGTGTGTCCAAAACGTCGAGTTGGTGTCCTTTCCAAAACTGGGGTACACCGTCAAAAAAAGACACATCCAATCTTTCCATTTGAGATTGATACTTACTGAGTAGACTATCATTGGGTAGCGGCAATAGGTACGGGGCAATAGTAGGTACGGGTAGATTTGGTTTACCCGCATAAAAAGGCATTATTAACTGGTATCCTTTGGCAATAGCATGCAGCTCCCCGCCAGCAGGCAGCAATGACGTGGCAGAAGTGTCTCTCCTGAACACAGCGGTGCAGGAGGGCTGAGCATTGCCTGAATGCAGCGGTCCCTAGGCGGAAGGCCTTGGTAAGGCATAGTGACGCTTGGTAAGCTGTAATAAGGCCATATTTGTGCCATACTGCCATACTTGAAGATCTAGCATGGCTAATGTTTATTGAAGGGTGTGCCATTTTAGAGGAAAGCCGGATGATCGTGGATTCGTTTGGGGTGGGGGCACTCGAGTTTTTTTAGCTTCCTGTATCTTCTTTTCTCTCCTTGGGCTTCCTTTACGGTCGTTTTTCTTCCTTTTGCCTCCTTCAGCTTTCTTGACCTTCCTTTCTCTTCCTTTACCTTCCCTCAACTTCGTTGCTTCCTTTGCGTTCCTTTAGCTTCCTCCTTCCTTTGGCTTCCTTTAGTGACTCTCTGGCTTTCTTTGGCTTCTCTACCCCTGGCACAAACTGAGATGATAGTTATTTGAGGGGTGTTTAATTCGGGACGAGACTCCGGATCTTTTCTGGTGGAGACAGTGACACCTCCCAAGATCCACCTACACAATCCACAGTTGACCTGTGTTATTCTTTCCGAGACCCCCTAAAATTGATTTCGCTCTTCTCCCTTGGCTTCTCTGTAAAAAACAAAAAAACAACTAAAAAAGAGGTACCAACTCCGAAAAAGAAGTAGCAACTCCAAAAACAGACGTACCAACTCGAAAAAGGACACCCCGCCCGGACCACGGAACCACCAAAAGCGTGGTGCGGTTCAGGAGATGTGGCCTGAGATCACCAGCTTCATCCGGACCGTGCTGAAAGAGACCGTGGAGGCGCGCGAAAAGCATCCGGTGGAGACTTTAGCCACTGCAGTGGACTTTAGCCACTTTCTGGGTTGGACTTTTGCAAAAGTCACTGGAGACTAAAGTCACTTTATGGGTTTGGACCAGTTTAGTGGCAAAAAGTTTGCTTACTGGTTGTTTGCCAATCCACTCAGGAAGGCTACTGAATGCCGGTCGTTTTGAGGGACTCGGGACCCCCTTGTTATGTTTGGGAAAAACGAACCGGGTCCCTTCGTTTTCTCAGAAAAAAATCCTCCGTTGGATTGGCTTTAACATGAAAACCGGGAAATGAAGTGCTTGAGGCGCACCCTTTACCTGAGAAATATAGTTGCCGATGGTGCCAAGTTCCCAGCAAGCTGCATGGCAACACAGTGCAGGCTTCATCCTGGTAAGCGAATTGCATGGGGATACATGTCATCTGCAAAAAATAGCACGGTTTCGCGCAGCTAGGCATACCGCTTGCAACTGGCAGGAAGAGCCCGTTCTGTCAGCCAGACTTTTCAAGCGGTATGCCCGACATTGGAGTTGCCCAGGGGTATGAGGACAAGACTCGCGTTGGCTTCCAATAGCTCGGACTTTCAGCGGTTTGTTGGAACCGGCGCAGTCTTTGTACCCTTTTTTTTACCTCTTTGTTTCCATTGGCTGGTGGGCAAATACCCCCCCCCCATCCGTTTCTTGTTCTCCTCCAACGAGGGATAGGGCGCGTTTGCGCGCGTGCGCGCGCGGACGTGGGCGCAGGAGGCGATCCAGACGCGGGTGCCCTGGTTTCTGAAGTCCCTGGGCTTCGGGCGCATCTCTTTCGGGGACTCCGCCTTGAAGGTGGAGCAGCCGCTGCGCCAGCAAAAAGCGCAGGAGGAGATCAGCAAGCTTTTTTTGTTTTTTTCCGGAAGGATGCGCAGCTCAGGGCACCCCCAAAAACCTTAAGGACGTGCTGCAGAGGGAGTCATGTTAACCTGCGGAGTATCTTTTTTTGTTGACCGAAGTGAGGACACACATTTGATGAGCCGATCATTTCAAGAATGCGTCATTCAATGTTTAAGCAGCTCTTATAAACTGAGCGGGTTAGATTGCTGTAGATGACACTAAACACATTCATGCCGCATGCCCTTACTTACTTAGTCTAAGCTGCGTCAACCATTCCTTCTAAGTCACATTGCCCCTAAGTTATAGTGCCACTGGGCATTTCCCATTCATAGTTACCCCTAATCAGAAAACCCCCTCCCCCTGCCTCTCCCCCCGTGAAGGTCGGCAAGGTTTGGGAGGAGCAAAGTCTTGGGGCTCTAGCTTGAGGTCTGGATGAAGGGACTTGAGGCTTGAGGATTTTCATGGATTTTGAGCGGCTTTGGGTATGCAAAACACTCTTTTGTTTGGTGGCCCGGTTTGTTGTAGAAGCCAGGCATGTTTGGGGGCAAGTTTGCTGGAGCTGTTCAAAGGGGAGCCCTTTCAAAACCAAAGAAACCACCCGATTCTTTGGCAGGGCTGGGGACCCCCCTGATTAATCGGGGGGGGGGGGTTGGTTATTAGGAGGGTCTGGCCCTTGAAGGGGGGGTTCCCTTTGTGACCTTGTAAAACTTGTTCTAGGGTATGTACGGGAATCGTTGGTTTGGTGGCCCAGTTTTTTTGTGGAAACCAGGAATGTTTGGGGGCAAGTTTGCTGGAGCTGTTTAAAGGGGAGCCCGTTCACAAGAAGAAGGTTTGCCTGGGTTTTTATGGCAAGGAGGATGGCAGGGGTGAACCTTTGATCCGAGGGGGGGGGGGGTCTTCGGAGGGCCCAAACATTTCTTGGTCCTTTAGCTTAGTGTTGGAGGGAACCTGGAAGGCGGGGGGGAGGGAAAACCTTCAATCAGGGGTGGGGGGGGTTACTAATCATTCCCTGACATTAATTCGTTTCATTGAAAGACACAAGCAACACGCAAATGCAGATGCCCAGAGATTCCTTTGCCGAGGAGTTCCTGGTAGTTCTAGGCTTGGCACCCATTTGCGCAAACGACCACAAATTGCCGCAAACATCTCGTGAGGCGCAAGCACCCACAAAAGGCCGCACATTCCGCGCACTGATAATTGCCGCAAACACCCGCAACAAGCCACAAACAAGCATAAATCCAACACGAAACGCCCAAAACAGGTAGAACACCGAATGTCGGGGAGGAGAACATCTCCAGGTTAAAGTAGTTAAGCACAACACTAGATGCAGAGGCGAGCTGAACAAGGCCAGGATACAACCCTGCCGAGTGCAGAAGCCTGCTGACTCCACCCAAACTGGAAGAGAGCTCTACCCATGAGATCTGAGCGGCCGGCCTGTTTTGTTCGCCACCATTATCCTTAAGGGGCACTGGTAGCCTGGCTTCCATGTTAGTTGGGGGTTAGAGCTCTATGTGTCAAAGCAGTGCTCAGGTTAGATGTGGAGCGGCTTATGCAGGCATCCAACAAGGCAGACACAGTAAGGAGCTTCAAGGCAGGGCTTGAGAGAGTGGACTCCCAGCTCAAAAACAGACACCCATTTGGAGGGCTCTTTTTTTTCGGGAGAACCCCCTTTTTGGGTATGTCAAAGTGTGGAGCCCCGGGATGCTTTGCTGCCTGTTTATAATTTTTTGTGGGCAAGCTTGGGGGGGCCACGGACGACACGCGACACCTGAACAAGTAGTATTGGCTTTTCTGGCAAAGGTGTCAGCTTTTGGTTCGCCTCGCAAAGTGCTGCTCTCCTGGCGCTGACAATCCCAAAAGTCTTCATTGGAGGAATCTGGGGCACTCTCTTTTCGGGATCCTGTTTACGGAGAGGGCCAAGATTCCTGGATATTCGTGGAACTGCATTCTGGTTTTGCAGTCGATTTCGAATCTTTGACTCGGCAAGCACTAAGATTCCTGCACCCCTACAGGGCAAATCGACATCAGACCCAAAAATGTGTCCCCCAAGCGCGATTCCTCCAAAGGCGATAGTTTTGCACGTTCCATGCGGATCTGCAGGGAAGTACAGGGGTCCTGTGTCTCCTTTAGGGATTCAAAGATAACTTTTTGGCTATGAGAGTATCCCCTTTTGGTGGGGTATTGCTCGAAGGGGGCATAATGTTATAAGGAGCCAATTCAATCGACCGCAGGCTGACCCTCAAAAGAGAGCAATCTCATGTTCAACCCCGAAAATGACAAACATTTTCAGGGCCCCCCTTTCCGTGAGGCACAAAGGAGCCCAGAACTAATGGGATTCTCAGGTCTCCAGCCTGGTTGCCTGGGATGCGGATGTGGACGTGGCCCTTACCGCGCCCGGGGCCGCTCTCAGCGCGGAGCATCTTCGGCGAAAAGACGTGAGACGTGGCTGTGGTTTGGGCCTCTCTTTGGGGAGAACCCTGGCTTTCTTAGGGAAGCCAAAGGAGACTGGGGGTTCCCCTCCATTGTGCGCGCCCATTTGCAGGTGGGTCTCTGTGTGGTTTCCCTTTAAACCAACCCAAGGAAGGCTACCCACAAGAAAGGCAGACATTTGGGGTCGCGCGGAACCTGTGCGTGGGTCCCTTAAAAAACAAATTTCTCCAATAGAGACCCAGGCTGATTCAACGGTCATTATTTGAAAAAAACAACCCGGCCGTGTTTGCAAGAAATCTTGAAGGGTCCTCAAAGGGTCCCTTGGGACCTCCATGGTTTCCCTTGACCAAGTAACAACAACAAGTGCACGGCCACCGGAGTAACAACGATGGACTTCGGCTTGGACTGGAGTTTGTTTGACTCACCTCTGGACTTGTTAATCAAGGAAGCCATCGTCCTGTTTTACCCTTTCGTGTTGCTACAAAGTCGAAAACGCGCGCTGCATCTAAGGCATGTGCTGGTGAAGGGCCGCTTGGACGTTTGCTTGCAGCAGATCTTGCCGAGGCAGTCTATTTTTTGGTCTTTGGGGGCCCGTTCATTTTTGTCGTTTGACCTAATTGTTTTGGGTCGGGTCCTCATTGTCATGGGAGCATCAAGTTTGATCACTGGTGATGGGAGCGGAGTAGTCAAATTGGTGGATTAGTGGGGGTGGGTGTCTACTGCTTTGCAAGCATGCTATTTGAGCAGGCCACCCTTCTTCACCGGCATCTCCTTCTACTTTGCGGATGTGCCGAAAGTTGTTCTGACCCTGGACGGCACGCTTGTTGGTGTTCGGGCATCCTGGCTGCAATACGCGTCAAAAAAAGGCCCTAAAAAAGTGTGGTTGTCCGTTTGGTTCCCGCAAAAGGGTACCCTCAAGAAGCACACTCAAATGGGGCAGGATGAAAGCCCACCGCGCTCACTTTGGCATCTACATTGACGTGTCACCGCTGAATGACACACCAAGCACCCGCCATAAAGGCGGCGAATGGCTCCCTTAACTGGAAAGGCTACCGAGTAGACTGGTGTGGGGATTCTCTCAGTTGTGGGGTGGGGATTTCGACATTTTTTGGGCTGTTTTCCCGCCGCGAACCTCAGCATAACCAGAACAACGTAAATCAGCGATTTGTCGGGGGGGCTGATATATATATATATATGTTTATGTATTTACTTATGTACTTATTTTTTTTATGTCTGTATATTCTTTGGCTGGCTAAATATGACGCACCAGAAAATTCGATCTTTGACGCAGGGGTTGGGTCAAGCCACAATGGAATCCGTGAATCCGCAACTTCGACCACTACCGGAAATATGTGTGTGTTTTTTTCAGTAAACTCAAGCAAATTCAAGATAACAAACCGCCAAAGAGAGAAGCTGATTTCTCAGGTGCCAGGCAATCCGCCGGGGTTTGTTGCCTGGCCAGGGAACAGCAAAACCCAAACGCGTGCACTTGCCGTTCTAAAAAACAGACGTGACCACTAATTGTCGACAAGGATGGGCTTGAAAACTGAGATGGCAGCAACACAACAGTTGCGCGCCTACCAAATGTGAAAAAATAAATTGGTGTCAGGGTTTGGCAAATTGTCGTCAAGTCAGCGGGGCAGCAGACCAGCGGCATGAAATAACCCCGGAGCAATCAGTTCCCATGGTGCCTTGACCAGCCATCCTCTCCCTGAAAGACTTCAGTGGCGTCCAGAGACTACCTAGGGTTTCAAGAACCTGTAAAAATGTCGTACCCTGACTAAAACATCGTGTTTTTTTGTAGGTATGACATTTTCATCGGTTTTTGAGGCTCCTGGTAGTTTTTGAGCTCACTGTTCCCAGCACCCTTCGATTCTTGGCCAGGCTTCTCTTTAACGTCAGCGACAAATGGGAGTGGGTCAAAATTGAACCACTGGAAAGACTGCATGTTTTAGTCCATGTTGCTATTTGCAGGGTTCCATGTTGGGTACCTATTTTTGACCCACGGCCAAATGGCTTCCCCCACCTTTGCCCCATGGGAAATCCACTGTTCTGCCCAGGCCTTCAGGTGATTCGGCTTGGCCTTTGCAGGCTATAGGAACCGAAGGCCTGGCTTGCTGCGGCATAGGTGTCCGTTTTGGGTTGTTTTGCTAGATAAATGGATGGGTGGCGATTCCTGGGTTACCTGGTGGCTTCATCATCCAAAAGGGCCATCTCTTTCCCCTAAAAGGACACCTATGTGCTGAGGTCTCTTTGTCCTGGCTGGAACGATTGCTCGCGGACATCATCCAGAAGCAGCTGGCGGAGCAGATCGTGCTCCCCACGGTCGCGGCGGCGCCGCGGCGGATCTTTATGCTTTAGGGTGGGCGAAATATGAAACTGAACCTGACAAGACTGTCCGCATGCGCTAGGCTCTAGATGTGGGCCAAGAGGGGGCCAGCTACTGGACTGGACGAGGAGGATTTGTATTCAGGGAGCCATGGCCGTGGTGGTTCAATTGAGCAACCGGGCCATTTCTGAGGGTTCCGGGCTTGCCGCCCGGGCTTACTTCTTTTTGTGTTGGTACCCTTTTCGGCTTGGTGAAGAAAACAAAAGAAAAGGCAAGCACCATTGTGGGGGTGCCCAATGTTGACGGAGCCAAAAACCATTGCCGGAACGCTATTTGGCTCATTTGACTGGCAAGGTTGATAAACCTGGGCAACATCAATTGTCACTGCTTTGCTGGATTTTTCAGATGTCCGAGGATGCATGGTATTGCAGGCCGATTTGACCACCTTAGACCGCTTTTACGCCCAGCGTTCAGCTGCCCGTTGTGGTTTTATGCTTTTGGTGGAAGCCACAAGTGCTTTGCACGTATATTCCCACGTACGTCTAGCATGTTCCCAGATTCTTCCCATTCAGCGCCGTTGAACGTCTCCCACAGCTGGCCGTGCGCATGTTGGGGTTTCCTTTGACCAAAGCCTTGCTGATGTATGTCCCGACAGCATTCCGGTTGCATTTTCGTTTTCTGCGAGCAAGGGTTGCGACCGAGAGGAATCAGCAAAATGCATTGTCACGCTGCGAAGCGGCTGGCGTGCTGCAAGCACACTATGCTGCCACATGCAGCGGCGTAAGCTTGTGTCGGAAGGTGCTGCTTGACGTCACCAACGAGGATGCTTGGTTCGACGCAGGCATGCTTGCTTGCCAGTTGCTTTGAGTTCTACTCTTTTTCAACTTCACGTGGTTATGTCCCTTTTTGAGGGTGTCCACTTTTTGTGGATTGAAAGGGAAAACAAAAGGACACCCACCATTTTGGGGGTCCCCTAAAGGAAGACACACCCAGCTCCCGTTTTCTTCCTGAATCAGGTCATTTGTTGTAACAAAAGTGATGCTCTTAACAGGTGCATCATTGCACCTGTGGGTGCCAGCCACATGCCGCGTTGGTTGATTCCACAACTTCCCAGAAGCTGCACAGCGCCTCAAAGTTTCAACTTCGACTGATTCGTGTTTGGCTCATTCGGGAGGAAGATGAACGAAGTTTCCCACAAAAACCAGAGGACGAGGTCTAGTTGTCCCATAGGTCCTCCTGGGGAGACAAGGCATGACCGTGGCTCCGGTGGAGGTCACGTGTTCCCAGAAGGCGTCATCACAGTGGTGGTGCACAGCGCCAGCAAATTGGCGGCCAAGGCCGGTCACTTGTGACGTTTGGGCCTGGCATACCCATCGGAACTGACTCTGCCAAAAGTGTGGTCCCTTTTTAAGGCAAAGAGAACATGAGGTTGGTGGAGAAGTGAAGCCTGGAAACTTCGAACATTCACTGGATAGAAGCTTAGCAATGAGGGCCTTGCATTTCACTGGACCACATGAGGACGGAGTGTTTCCAGGTGTTTCCCGCGGCGCGCAGGATATGGCACTGCCCTTCGGCCTCTCCCAGCCAAGTTCCGACCCATACTGCAAGCTTTCTCTGGGAGGCAGTTCTTGGCGTGCCTCGGACAGCCAGACCTGCCCAATTTGGCCAAGCACAAATGGAAATCGTTCATGCAGTTATGAGTCACACAAAATAATGTGTATATGCTACTTTCGGCAGGTGCATACAATCTAGCACTGGCAACCGGCGTTGGGGCTGACTGCCACTGGTCGCTTTCCTTTTTCTCCACCAGCTCTGTTGTCAGAGCTCCACGTGCAGCCACTCTTCAGTGGGAAACTCGAAGCGATGTAGTGCTCGCCCTTCCGCCAGGAAGGGTTTGGCAAAAGGAGCTCCAATGATTCGGAGCCATAAGCAACGTGAAGGCAAACAAAATGTCATGCCTTGCAAATGAATCTAGCCTCCACGGGCACGACAACTAACAGAAAGTGAGTACCGCCACAATGATCAATTACAATTGACTGATGCCCACCAAAAAGGCCCTTTCAAGTCACAAAGTCGAATTCACACCAGATGCTGTTTGCCTGGGCTGTCCTCAGATCCCCTGCCAAAAGTTAAACTTGTGGGTGAAATGGACACCCCCACCAAACCAACTAAAAGCGACGAACAAACCCAAACCGGATGGCTGGGATGGGCGTGTCTCAAAATAGGGGACCCTCTTGCTGGGTGTGGGCGTGCTGCAGAGCTCGACCCCCAGCCGCAACTCGCAGCACTTGCGCAGGTGCGTTTCCGAGGGCTGGGGTTTGGCGGTTTTACCTCCCTGCAATTTGGTTGGAACCCACAGGGGAAGTGCCCAAAAGAGATCCCTCTACAAATGAAGCGCCGGGGGATCATTGCTGCAGCCTAGGTACGCCAACCCGGCCTCAGAACTTGAATCCTCGCTGGACGGAGGCAGAGGCTGAACTGCAATTTGCAGATTCAGAAGCGTGCCATGGTGAAGAGACTGGTTCCTTTACTTGGTTACTAGGGGCCATGAACGTCTTGACATCATGATGCTCACTAGCGGACGCCAGTGCCACGCTCGCACACGGCGCATCACGTATCAATTCCTTGGACGTAAAGACGGGACACCCCTCTAATCAAATTCGACCACGCTTTGATTCAACCTGCGATTCCATTCCTTGCTTACCCTCATTAGGAAGCCAGCCACCAGTTCCTGGTGCACTCCCGCAGCGAGCAGCAGCTGCTGCTTCAAGTCTATGACGAGAATCCGTACACGGAGGAGCTGTGCTCCTAGTCGGGTAGCTTGCCCTTGCCTAACGTCCCCCTAGTTGTTTCGACATCAACTCGACCAAGTCCTTGTATTTCCCAGTTGTTTTGTTTTCCGACACTTTCAAAGCCTCATTCTGGGCGAATGTTGCAATCTTCACGGATCCGCCCCAAACCCCGGACTTCCAGTGCAACTGCAAAAAAAGGCACCTTTCGGGGGTTGTTTGAAGCCCAGGCACCCCAACGGCAACCACTGGACCAAACAAATGGAATCCGTTTGGACGCAGCGGCTCTGCAAAGACTCCTCGGCACCCAATCCCATCGCTCACCCCGGAATCCCCTTCAAACCCCCATACAACCAGACCCTGGATTCATGAAACCCTTGGAGCCTTCCGGAAGGAAGCCTCCCCCACCGCTCCATGGATCCAATGGAACCAACACCAGTGCGCACTGCTACGATACCGACTGCTGCAAGCGCACTTTGCTTTGAGCTTCACGCATGCTGCTCACATATTGTTCAGAATGTTTGCTTTATTGAGCACTAGTCACAGCCGATGGTGAGGATGCCTGCTTGGCAAATCGTCGGGCGTTGGATCTTCCGCGGAGCCTACCAAACGCCGGATTTCGTTGCTTTGGCTCATGTTCAGCTGTTCATCATACTTCCTTCCCTGTATACTTGCTGGAAAAAGGAAGCTTAGGAGATGTAATGGGGCCTGCGCTCTCCAATTTGACAAGTCAACTTGAAAGGCTGAAAGCTATGGGTTTTTTGTCCAGGCAAGCTCCGGAGCGGTCCTGAGTAGGGTTCAGGAGGGTGCTGGAAGTTTCCGGAAGGCTTTTCGAGGGTCGCAATGAAGCGATTGCTCAAAAAGGTTCCGGACATTTCCAGGAGGTGCGGGGGGTTCCATGGAGTGGTTGCTGAATAGGGTTCCGTAGAGTTCTATGAATGAGTTGCTGGATTGGATTCCTGGTGGTGTGGTGCGGTTGTTGCCAAGGGTTCCAACGGGTTTCCATTTCGGGGCTTCGGGGTGGCATGGTGGGTTCGCGCAGCCAGGACGCAGCCCTGGGCAAGCTGGCTGCAGAGGGGCAAGGTTTCCATCCCCCGAAAGAGGCAATGGCAACGTTGCGAGGGTGCAGCGCACACACCGGCGCTTGGCAGACAGGTGCAGTCCGGCTGACGTATCTTTAAGGTCCCATCCCTTGACAATGGAGTTGGGGGAGGGGGTTCCATTCCTTCAGTGGGGAAGGCTAGAGCTGGAACTGGGACCCTCCCAAGGCACAGAGGATTGGCAGAGGGCTTGAATCTTGTGACTGCCTTCGCCCAGGCTTCGTCTCCTTGCCGGTCTCTGACGTGAAGGAGGCAGTGTTGGCCAAACAACTCCCTCCTTAGAATGAGATTGGAGAGCAGCCATGGAAGTTCGTTCATGGCTCCCCTCCTGATAGATGGGTGAATCGGGCAACTCCTCTTGTAGGGAAAGCTGGATAAACGGAACCCGGGTATCGGATCGGATGTGAGCGTGAGGCAGAGCTGGAGCTTCAAGAGGGCCAGGGCACCGTCACCATTTCATCCCGCTGGGAAGCCCCTTAGCTGCAAAGCTCCAGAGGCATTTGCCAGGCAGAGGAGAAAGCAACTGGTCGATGCTGGCACATTTCAACGGCATGTCCTACATTGGTCACCTTGATTGAAGGGGCGTGCCCCTTATCCAAGAGGGCGGGGAGACTGTGTTTTTTTCTTTTTTGTTGGGGGGGGGTCTTAAAATGGCGCTCGCAAATTCCAGTTCCTCTTTGTGACTAGAAGGTTGTGCGAAACAGATGCGGCAAGACTGACATCTGGAAGATTTACATATCATATTAGTATGAAGACGCCGCTGGCCAAGTTTGGAACAACATGGGGGACCATCTCGTTTTCCTTCAGCAATGGGACTTCACTTTTGTTGCCACACAATTAGGAGGGTACGCTTGCCAATCTGAGGATCTCAGGTTGGAGGAGCGGGCCGGCAAGCGCCGGTCAGATGACATGAGCAAGTGGCATGAGTTGGGTTTCGCATCAAATGGGCCCACATCGGTCATTGTCAAAATTAGTTGTAGGTCTTAATTGTCGGCCTACTGTTCACTCGGAGGGGCCAGGGGACAGCCCAAGTCTCCCAAACAAACACAAAAACCACCCAATTTGTAGGTTTTGATGGCTTCTGAGATTCACATTGCACCTGAATGGGTTATTTTGACTGGCCAAAATGGGGATCGAGTCCGCCATGATGCAGCTTCCCTTGGCAATTCCTTAAGCTTGCGAAATACAATGAGTCCTGCCTATTTGACAGCGAGCTCACCGATTCGCGGGTTTTGCACAAGCTCACCGTGATAAAGGTCCTTTACTTGGGGATTCAATTCTTACTTGAGCTTTTGGACAATTTGCAGATAATGAATTGCCCTAATGGGTTGCTTCTGAAATTAGGGGATCCCCCAAATTCACTTCCCCGCAAACTGACCTTTTGACCGAGTTTCCACTTTTTGGTACCCCAAAAGGTGATCACCTCTTACCCCGCCGCCCCCCCCCCCCCCACCGCAAAAAAAAACACAAACACATAGAGTTTTGCACAAGGGTTCCTGGAAGACTCATTTGCCTTTTCAGGCCCTGAAGGGCAACTGAGAAAATCATCGCTTCCCCCTTTTTGGTTTCCACAAGGCGCGGGCTTCAACGAAAAAGACGCCAGGAGTCCAACGTGCGTGCTCAGATGCGCGCGCTGGACGGAACAAACCTGAAGTCCACGCCTGCCTTTGTAGTTTTCGCGCCTCAGCACGGGGTGTTCACCCCAAACCAATCAACTGCCACAAAATGGGGGTCGAGCACTTTCATACACAACGTTCTGTGATACCAAGGGAATCCCTTTAAAGTGAACAAAAACCATGTTTTTGCGCTTTTTGTAGATACGTCATCTACTGTAGAGGGGATGATGACAGCATGTGGAAATAGATATGTATATATATATATGCATGCAGAGCCCCTCCCAATGATCTACCTTTTGCTGCATATCATTCCTGCCTGTGTTCTGTCCCAGCTGCAAACTTCAACACAATCCACTATATTTTTGAGTAACAGAGATTGATCGGCAGTGAACTGGAAAGATGGAGAGATAGATTGGATGGATTGGATAGATCAACACGACCATTAGATAGATTGATAGACCGATATGGGTTGATTGATTGAGTGATTGAGTGGCTGATTGGATGGATTGATGGATGGATGGATTGGACTGACTGACTGACTGACTGACTGACTGAGTGACTGACTGACTGACTCATTGACTCATTGACTCATTGACTCTTTGACTCATTGACTCATTGACTCAGTGATTGATTGACTGATTGATTGATTGGTTGGTTGGTTGATTGATTGATTGATTGATTGATTGACTCATTGACTGGTTGACTGATTGACTGATTGACTGTTTGATTGATTGACTGATTGATTGATTGATTGACTCATTGACTGATGAACTGTTTGATTGAGTGAGTGATTGATTGATTGATTGAGTGAGTGAGTGATTGATTGATTGGTTGACGAGAAGTATATCGGTAGATAGTTAGAAAGATAGATACCGGTAGATTTGATACATCAGATGTATTAGATGGATGTGGTAGGCTAGATAGATAGGATAGGGCAGGATAGGATACGATAGGATGAATATATTAGATAGAATATCTTGGGTTAGGTTATGCTAGATTAGATAGACAGATAAATAGGCAGGTAGGTTGGTAGATGGATTAGATACACAGACCGGTCGATAGATGACTAGATGGACAGATAGATAGACATATCGACAGAGATAGATGGATCGAACGTCAGATAGGTTCAGGGTTGAAGGCAGAAAATGACAATGACAAGAGAGAAAGGGAAAGAGTAAGAGGGGCGAGAAAGGAGAGAAAGGGAAAGAGAGCAGAGGAAGTGAAAGAGACAGCGTGACAGAGATAAACAGAGAGAGAGAAAGAGAGAGAGAGAGAGGACAGCAACAGAGAGAGATAAACTATGCTATTTTCATATTTTTGAACTTCCGCCCTCCCTTCTTGTCAGGAGCTTCAGGAGGAGCCTGAGTCAAGTCTAGCTTGCATAGTGTGCCAACTTTCGTTTACTTTTCAAGCGTGTAACACAAGACACCACGGAAAATACATATGCTTTTGCATGCCCAACTGAACGTGGAATGCCTCAAGGTCAGGGGTTTCTCCATACACGTTCATGACTCTAAGTATCCGTCTGCAATCGTTCAAAACAACACGGTGCCAGGCATACTTCAGGATCTAAAAGGTAGTTCAGAGGGAGGCTTGACCATATATATATATATATATGTATATACATATATATGTATATACACATGTCTGCACGTGTTGTCATTGGACGGGAATCCTACAACTGGGCATCTCAAAGGTCATTCTTCGCATGGACATTTGCGCTTCCCCCTTGCAGATGAACACGGAACCGCAAAGTGACATTTCTGGAAGAGTCTTTTTGGACAAAATCTGCTTTAGGGTTCCCAGTTGACCTGCTGGAGAGTATGTTGGCTACACTCCACGCGACCGGTCTTGCGTTCGATCTCAGGTGGGCATTGACAGCTGTATCTTCAAGGATTCGGATGCTTCGCCTGCAAGCGCGGTTCACACAGAAGGTTTTTGCCGGCAGGCTTGCGCATCAGACAGGAGGTTGAATGTTTTTGTTAAAGCATGGAAGCCGGCTGGAGGGTTGTGGAAGACCATGGAAGACCGCTTGTTGAGAACCATTCATGAGCTCAGACTTTAGCTCATCCCCTCACATTCGCATGAACACGCCGAAGAAAAAGGGTTGGTTCGACGTATAAGTCGGGGCTGGCTCACTGGCACGCTGGACCAGGTACTCTGATCCCTTCGATTCCAAGGAGGGCTGGGGCGCAGTTGCGCGTTGACTTCTTGTGACAAAGGGTGGAAGAGATCAATGAAATAAATGTCAAAATTGGGGGGGGGGACCCTGAAAATGGTAGTTCTCTCTATTTTGTTTCCTTTCAAACCCAGGCGGCAAGTTGGTGTACTCAAAAAAGACATCCACCCATGTCGCATGTTTTCCACGTGGCCCAACTTGGATCCGCCAAGGAAGTCAGCGAGAAGAAGCAATCCTACACCTGCAAAGTCTCATGTGAGGCCGGGAGTCTCCCTAGGAGTCCTTAGGTTGGTTTGGTTCAACATGATTTCACTGGCTTAGATCGTTTACATTTAATTTACCAGTGCAATCTATTTTACCAAAAGCGCACATACCCTTGGACCCATTGTATCTGGTTCTCAAGAATGACTTTTGGGTTGACCAAAATGCCGAGGCCTGTCCCGAAGAAGCGGGGAGACCATGGCTGTTGGGCCGCGTTTCGTTTCGGGGCTTTCGGGCACGGAGCGTCGGCACTGGGCACGGGGCGGCGGCACCCTTCGTCTCGGTCGGGGCAGGATCACGAGGACACCGTAAAGAGCCGTCGTTCCCGGAAGCGCGGACGTTCCTTGGAATGGGCAGTGGGGTCAGCTAGGCCAGGCGATCTGGCTTGGGTGGTGCTCCTATTCTAGACCCCTTTGAACAAACAAGCACATTCTCAGCCTGCGGTGGGTCCAAAACAAGGATGGAGCCATTTCGATTACTGTCGTTCATGCTTGCATATTGTCCGATGCCGTCATATTTTGTTCAACTTGCCCAATTCCCAACGACACTTGCCTAAAAAGGTTCATCCATCACACAGCACTAGAGTGTGCAGCAAGCAATCTGCCTTGTCTCCTCGGGGGTGGGGCATGCCGCAAATGTCTCAAAACCGAATGATGAAATGCCATGTTGCACAAGAAACCTGCTGCTGCCACAAGGTTTTGAATTTTGTTTTGTGTCATGGTATTCCCTTCGGCTTCTTCACAATGTCTGATTGCCCAGACCCCGTGTTTCTTCGCGAGCCTGGGCAGCCTGGGCCCCCGTGTTCATGTTTGAGCCCAATGTGCTTAACATTTCGCTGAAGCAAAAGAAACTTGGAACAGATCCACCCACTGCAGTGCTAGACCTCCAGCAATGAGCTTTGGAGTTCGAGGGGTTCCGCTTAAAAGCATCCACCAAACGGTGTCTCGTTCTTTTTGTCCAATCCACCGTGGGGCTTGCTTGGGCGGCAAGGCGAGTTGGCACGTACACGCTGCATTTGTTGAGCAAACACCCTGGCGCTAAGACGAGATCACCCATGATCACTTGGGGGTTCCAGATACAGCAGGAATGCCACGTGAGGCAACAACCGGACAGGATTGCAAGGCTCAGCCTCGCAACCACAGTTTTCCAGCATGTACCCGAGGCAATATCTCAGCGAAAGTCTTCTTGGGTTTTGATTGAAAGGTTCATTTCAGTCCGGCTTGGCTGTGTCGGGAGGTAGCCGTGGTTGCTGACATGATTGCGATGTCTTTGTTGGCGGGCAGGCCAACGGGTGGTTTGGATTGGTTTGCGGGATGTAAACCCCTTTTGAAACGAAATTAAATGGGAAGGTACCCTCTCTAAACAATTAATTATGGATAAGGCGAGTTGGGACATGGGACACATGACAGTTGGGTGAATCTGAGATGGTTTCCACCCCCAACACCGTTTCTAAGGGTTTGGTGAGAAGGACCATAGCCACTATACAAAGGGATACCCTCGTTGAGTGGTCGGGGGTAGTGCACAGTGGAAACCATCTCAGTTGGCTAAAAGTTGGCACAATTCCCTTCGGGTTACTCATCTCCTTTGCCCAAATACAGGGGGTTAATTGGGGGTCCTATGGTACTTGTACCATTTGACGAATGGGGATATTTTCGACCAATTCGCGAACAATGTCTTGGATGCAGAAAATATGAAGATGTCATAAAGGAATCACACATGTCGTCGCGAAACCAATGCCAATTGTATCTGTTGCCCGGTGCCGGCCAAGCAGCATGACTGGCAGCTTGAGTAAGCTATGTAAACGGTACACGGTCACGCCAACGTAGGTTGTCATTTCAGTTTTCCTTTAAAGCCACCCCAAACGGGCTACCGACAAACACATCACGGCAGTTGGATTCAGGACATCCCACCAAACATGGAACCTTGGCTGTCCTGGGAGGATCCTGTTTGCGGGACCTCGCGCTTCCGTTGCGCGTGCCTTCAAAAGCCCATCCATGCGCCATCCGGGCTCGCCAGAAAACATGGTACGCTTCACAGGCTCTGGATCACCAAGGGTGTTGGGAAGCAAGAAGCTCACTTGGAGCTGAAATGACCTTTTGATTTTCCCGTGCTAGGCCCATTTTGTATTTCTTTGCCCTTTGACGCTATGAGCAAGAAGGACACTCCCCCCCCCCCGGAAGAAGCGGCAGAGCGATCGATGCGCTCGAGGCTACGGTGCCACCGCCTGGTGGCGCCGCGGCTTTGGGGAAGGCGACAAGAGAAGATGCGTCAGATGGCGGTGGTGGTCAAAATCAACGGCTCCAAAATTGGTGGTTCAAAATGGCAGACCTCTGATTCTACTGGGTTTCGCGGGATATGGCAGTCCAAATCAATGGGATCCCATTTTGGTCGGTGGGTGAATTCACCACCCATTTTAGAACCCATTTTAGTGGGGATTGGGATGTTCACTGGGGGCTAACCGGGCTTTTGACCCATGGCCATATCCGTGCTCTTTTCTTTTTTCTTTTTTTTTGGGGGGGGGGGGCGACCCGTCTTTTTGGGTGGGTCTAAATGTCTGAAGGGAAAACCCGCCCGATGTTTTGAGGAGTTGCCCATGCGACGATATATCTTTGTTTGCCCCTTTCATTTCTTTCTTTTCGGCGTAGAAGAAAAGGTGTCCAAATGGCCATGTTTAGGAAAGGGGCCACACTTGAGCACGTGCTGCACCAGGAGAGGAGGAAACGCCGGAGGAGGTTGAGACGATTGAGGCCATGTTCGACCCCATGTTGCGCATTGCATTTCCGTCACGCGTCAATCACCGACAGAGACAAGGGGTCAACCATTGATTTGTCTATGTGATGAGCTGGCAAGTGTGTTGAACATAGCCGGATGCTGTCGATTGCAGGATGGGAAGAGTTGCAGAGGAGTAGGTGAACGCACAAAGAAAAGGGAGGAAGGGACAGAGAGAGAGAGAGAGAGATAAGAGAAACAGAACGACAGAATGATGAAAGAGAGAGGCAACATGAAGTGATGAAGAATGAAATAAGTAAACAAATAATGGAAAGATTACTGGGCAACACAACAAACGAAGACACGCGACCAGTCAAGCAAGGAAGGAATGAAGCTACGAACACCGGAAATACGTCAGCAAATACATAGATGAATACATCTAATAGCTAAACCAACAAGTAAGTAATTCAATACATACGTAGAGAAATAGACAACAGCTAAATGAACAAACATATGTAAACAAACATGAATGAATCAAACATAATCTAACTAATACACAACTAAGTAAACTAACACATTAATACAGACATGACGTACAATACAACTACAGAAAATAAGTAACTATGCAAATAAGTGAAGTCATGAAAAACAACATGTACAAAGAACTGCATGCATGAGCAAACATACCGAGCTAGATAATTCAAATGATAATAACACAATAATAAACAGACAGCCAGACATACTGAATAAAGAAGGTCATGGAATTGAATAAATGGAACGGAATGGAATGAACGGAATGACTGGAATGAATACAATAATTGGAGTGAGTTCAATGCATGGAATGAACACAATGACATGACATGACATGAATGATGTGTCATGAATGAAATGAACTGAAGGAAATTAACTTAAGTGAACTGCATGAATGAAATGAACTAAATGACATGAAATGGATGGAATTAATGTCATGAATGTGTAAAGGACTGAAAGATCAGGACAGGACAGGAAAGGAACACAGACGACAAGGAAGGAAGGAAGGAAGGAAGGAAGGAAGGAAGGAAGGAAGGAAGGAAGGAAGGAAGGAAGGAAGGAAGGAAGGAAGGAAGGAAGGAAGGAAGGAAGGAAGGAAGGAAGCAAGGAAGGCAGGCAGGCAGGCAGGCAGGCAGGCAGGAAGGAAGGAAGGAAGGAAGGAAGGAAGGAAACATCATGAACAGTATGAATGACAAGAATAAAATGACGTTCGTAGAGAGACAGAGAGACACACACCCACAAGCAGATAGAATAGACAGACGGAAGAGACACGACAGACAGAGCGACGACGAGAAGGAGAGAGAGAGAGAGAGAGAGAGAGAGTGAGAGAAAGGGAGAAAGAGAGAAAGGGAGAAAGAGAGAAAGAGAGAAAGAGAGAAAAAGCAAGAGAGAGGGAGAGGTGCAGAGAGAGAGAGGGATCGAGGGATCGACGGGGCGAGGGAGCGAGGGAGCAGCGAAGAACAGAGGGATGCAGAGACAGAGAGAGACAGAAAGAAAGAAAGAAAGAAAGAAAGAAAGAAAGAAAGACAGAAAGACAGAAAGACAGAAGACATGAAGGATGGAGAATGAAGGAAATAACATGAAGGAAGGAACATGAAGGGAGGGAGATGAAGGAAGGAAGGGAAAAAAGAAAATGAAGGATGAAGGAAGAGTGAAGGAAGGATATTGAAGGAAGGAACATGACATAAGATGAAGTAAGGAGGATGAAGGCAGGAAGATGAAGGAAGGGCGACGAAGGAAGCAAGCAAGCAAGCAAGGAAGGACGGAAGTAAGGACGGAAGGACGGAAGGACGGAAGAAAGTAAGAGCAGAAAGAAATAAATAAATACAATAAACTAAATTCAGAAATAAAGTCCGACAGAAGGACGATAAATGAAGACGAGAGGAAGAGAGAGAGAGAGAGAGAGAGAGAGAGAGAGAGAGAGAGAGAGAGAGAGAGATAGAGAGAGAGAGAGATATATATATATATATATATATACATACGAGGGGAAGGGAGGCAGGAAGAGGGGAGAGGGCAAGAGGGGGTCAGGAGGAATGGGGTCAGCAAGGGAGACAGGAGTGGCAACTCGGCAGCTTTCAGGAAGCGCACAACGTGGCAAACTTCCAGGCGACATTCACCCATTTGATGAAAGGCGACCCTTGTCAGCACAGGCCTTCTTTGGTTTTCAATTGGAGCAATTGGTGTCCAATTTTCGCCAAGCGACACCAACAGAGGATGAATCATTTGGTATTTGTCCAGGTATTTTCCAGCCATGGTTCTGTAAATTTGGGGTTTGTTAGGGCCATGTTCTGCGATACGAAGGAAATCCTTTGTAAACTGAGATCCAGCACTCCTTGGCTCACACGAGTTTGTTTCCTTTTACACTTTTCTGTATGGGTGTATCCCTTTTGAGGGGCACGGTTTTGTTTTTTTTTTGAAACCCCAGTTGAGGCATTGAACCGCAGTCATAGCACGCCGGACCGAGGACCCCCGCAGTGCCTTGGTGCACGTCAAGGTGGAGAAGAAGAAGCGAGGGCCTCTTCCGGGCCAGGACGTCGTCTCAAACTCAGAGCCGGGGATTGACGGGTGGGGGGAGGGATGTTTTTAGGAATCGGACCCCCACAACGGTGGGTGTTCTTTTGGTGTCCCTTTCAGGCTCCTCAAAAACGGGGTACCCTCCCAAAAAGAGAGAGACATCCATTCGAGGCTGCTTGTTGCTTTGCTTGGATGTGTGTTGGATGGGGCGCTATTGTTTGTTTGTGTTGTCCGGCCAGCGGGGTCTTGTGGCTTGTGTCTTTGTGAGTGTTTAGGGGGCTCGCACAGCTTTCTACCAAGACCCTGCCAGGTACATTTTCGTAAAAGCAGATGGCACGACTCCCTCGTGGTAGAATCAAGTATGATCACGCCCTCCTCATGGAAGGCATGGTGCCCTCGCTTTTCCCCTGTTTGGTTTCGGCATCCCACTGAGAAAGGATCCAGTTCTTCGGGCCATGTGGTGCCCTGCGGCTTTTGCACCTTGCGCCATCTGCGCGCAGAAGCGCCGCAGCGCCGCATACGCGGTGTGCCGGAGTTGAGCCTCAAATGGATTTCTTCAGTGATGATCATGCCATTTGCCAAGAGTTGCCAGCACCAGACGAGAATGGACCACCATTTTTCCGGCAAACTTGCAACAGGAAGGTTGCTTGGTTTTGGTTCGAAGACTACCATCCTCTTACAAAGTCCCCGGACCGTCCACTTCCGCGATTGTTATTGGAAGGACTTCTACCCAAGCGAATCCTATGCCCAAATCCGACGAGGCCCCTGTGGCTTCAATGGTATGTTCAAAAGAAATGGCTGGCTGGAACCGGGGTCATGATTTTGACTGTTTGTGGGGTTATAAAAGTCAGAAAATGGTGTGAAAACCCCAGGGATGACTTTGATCATGGTAGAATAGTGAGGCCGGAAAGGAGGAGCCAACTCCAGTGGAGATGCACTGGAGACCTGTGTCCTGAGGTTGGGGAGTTGTACTTCCCGGTGTTTCGGCTCATCCACGCAGCTGGCAACACCACAAAGGCCGTGAGTCACAAACGTTGCAACGTTGAGTTTGGGGTTGTGAGCATTTTCAATGCTTTCCCTTGTGGGTTTCCTTGGTTCTCTTCTTGTGGGTTTCCTTGGTTTCCCTGGTTGTGACTTCCCTGGTTGTAGTGTTTCTGGTTGTGGTTTCCCTTCTGGCAGTTTCCCTTGTTGTGGCTTCCCTTGTTGTGGTGTCCTTGATTGTATTTCGCTCGTTGTGGTTTTCCTTGTTGTTTCCTTTGTGGTTTCCCTTGTGGTTTCCCTTATTGTGGTTTTCCTAGCTGTTTCCCTTGTTGTGGTCTCCTTTGTTCTCTTTTTGTTTCCCTTGTTATTGCTTTGTCCCTTGTTGCGTATGTTGTCCCTTGTTGTGGTTTTCCCTTGTTACAAGTTGTGGTTTCCCTTGTTGCCTCGTTGTGGTGGTTTCCCTTGTTGTGGTTTTCCTTGTTGTGGTTTCCCTTGGTTTCCCTTGCTGTGGTTTTCCTTTGGCTTCCTTGCAAACCACCTCGAAAAGGGTACCCTCAAAAGACACATCCGAGTCAGGTTTCACCTTCCGGGAAAGGAAGATCCGGTACAAGCCAAGGGCAGCCGGTTGCGACCTTTAAAATCTAGGAATCTAGGTTTCTTACTGAGAGCCAAATGAATGGGCTCAAAACAGGTTGTAAGTAAACAGGTTCCAGCTTGCACAGGACAATCCTGGGCGTAGATTGATAGAATCCGTTTGGCCCCAACCACATAACTCATGGTGCGGTTTGCCAGGCCCGCCATTTAAGGCGGACGACAAGGGTCCATGGAATACCTTATGACAGTGGCATTTGGCCACATGGTCAATTCTTTCCGCCATCATTGCCGGCATGAGTGCAGGTTGTTTTTAATACAATCAGCGCTTGGACTTTTGCCTTAGGCTCGCAACTCTCCCTGCTTGACGTTGGAAAGCCAGAAGGACACTCCTTGATTGCCTTTTTCGGGCCCCCTTTCGAGAACTCTCTAGCAGGTCCGGGCACCTATGTTAAACAAAAAAGACGATAAAACAAATCAAACACAGAAAAACAACTAGTAATAAGTATACTTGTTGGTACAGAGAGACCCCTAGCTCGCTCCACCTGCCCTGTAGGTGACTTTGCCGCTTGGGGAGGCGCGGCTGTCGCTGATCGCCCAGCTGCGGGCGACTGGCTTCGAGCCGAAGGATGCAGCAAAAGACGCTTGGAAGGCCATGTCATGCGCCGTGGTCAGAGCAACTTGCCCAAAATCGACCTGTTTGATGTGTTAGTTCCCCTTTCTGCAACCGTTGTTAGAGGGTGATTAGCTTTTATTTCTGGGAAACTGGGCAAGTGAGTGGCTTGACCTTTTGGAAAATGGCTTTTAGAACCTCCAATTCTCCTCCCCCCCCCAAACTCCCCAAGGTCGTTGGGGGGGGGGTGCAAGTAGACATTTCCGAAATGTCCAGTGGACAGGAAATTCCTCGCATGGCGATGGTCAGTGCCTTCATTTACTCTGTTTTCATGCCCGGATTTCCTCCGAGCCGTGCCACAGGGGTTCCTAAATCCGTGGGAGTCGGATTGTGCTGATTCACGTCTAAACATGGGTTCGAGATCAAAGCCTAGAGCTTTTGCTCAGTGGGGAGCAGCCCAGCTTTGGGTTGGTGCAGATGGTCATCATTCTCCAGATTTGGGTTTTAGCCCGATGTAGACTGCTAAGGGAACCATGACAATAACCCACAGGGCTTTGCATGGCCTATATGAAGTGAACAGAGTAAAGTATGCAAATGGAAGTTTGCACCAGGACATGTCCTAAGCCTCTGAAGTTAAGCTTCTGAAGCTGCTCATGAGCCAGCTTGTCCAGAACCTTCGACATATTTCTGTTGGGTGACCTTCTTTCAAGTCAAACTTGATCTACCTATATTTTTGCGATCTCACCCAGACGCTCGCAACGGGTCCTCATCCCACCAACTTGTATAGGTTATATGCCTGGCTAACACTGGCTAATCACTTACCTGGCGAACCTCATGTAGATATGCAAACTTCCTGGCGTTCCTGGAGGTGGATTCTTTGTCGGAGAGCGGCGAACCCCTGCACCTGGAACGCACGAAGAGAAGCCAGGAAAGGCCCCTGGCTTTCTGGGTCCCAAATCACAAAGCAATAGATTAACCTCCTGGTTGACTTTTTTTTTGGAGGGGGATTTTTTTGGGGGAGGCAGTAGAGATTCTTCACTTTCAGTGTTAGTTTTGTTTCTTTTTCTGTTGTTCTTTTTCCAATCCTGAAACTAAGATACAGAGCCGCCAACCTTTTGGCTGCATGTCCGACATGGAATGGGTTTTAAAACCTATGGAACCTTGGATGTTTTTAGAGGGTACCTTTGTGTTTGTGGTTGTGAAGGGGCGCCAGACGGAAAACCACAATTTTAGTGGGGTGCCCTAAAAAGGACATCATATATGCCAAGAACATCTCCGGGCTATAGTGTGCTGTCTCAGACACTCACTTCAGTTCCAACAAGTTGAACTGGGATTGTGCGCATGTTCACCGCAACATGAGCCCCACCTGGGAAGGCCACTTTGCCCGATGTTTTTTTGGGCGAACCCGCGATGCTCGAGGATTCGCATGCTCCGGCCTTCAAAGACCTCGCGAGTCTGATCTGAGAGACTCGGTCCCGAACCATACGGCAGAGAAAGAGGCTTGAGGGAAATTTGTTTGTGGAAACCTGGTATTTGGGTGCGTCTTTTGTTGTGGGTGCCCCCTTTTAACGGGACACCAAACTAAAAAAATCATAATTTTGGGAGGTCCGATTCTTAAGACTAGCCATCCAGTTGTGATACCAAGGGAGGCCTCTTAAAAGTGATAGAGTGGTCATGGGGGCCCGCTTTGGCATCACAAGGTAAGGGCAAATTCTCGCAAGGGCAGATCTCCGATCTGAGGTCCACTTTGATATTTGAATTCAGTGTTTGAGCTACTACCTCTAGCACAACACAAGTCCAAAACATAGTGTTACAATGTTTTGACACCATCGATTGATTTACTAGCGCTATGGCTGTTTTTCTTGATTTATTACTTTGTTCCTGTGGCTTGCTGCGAAGGGCATGTTTGTGGTTTGCAGTCCTGCGGCGTCCCGTGCCAGATGGCGCTTGATGCACGGCTTGCTTCCTTGGTCGGGGCAAGCTGTGTGTGAGGACAATGTTATGGTTTAGTTGCCAAGGGAATTTAGTCACAGGTATGGGAATCTTGTTTGGTAGGGCGACTTTCAATATGACCTGCATGACCTGCTTCCTTTTGGCTTCCCTTTATACCACCCCCCAAAAAAAAAATAAAAACAGAAAAAAACGGGGACCCAGTCCAATGACGAGCTTTTTCACCCGAGTCGTGAAAATGTCCCCCATGGCTCGCGAGCCACAGCCGCAGCTTTCTCCGCAAGTTCGACTCACAGCCATGGCGAAGAGCTGCTTCAACGGATGCTCGGCAGGCAGGACCCGCTCCGGGCGTTTTTTTTTTTGTTGTTGTTGGCACGCGCCAGGAGTAGTTGGATTTGTCTCTATATGTATACTGTATAATGTTTTTTTTTTTTTTGGGGGGGGACCGGGGTCCCTGCTATTCCGGGTGGTTAAGGGAAATCAACAGGAACACAAGTTTTGGGGGACCACTTAAAAAACACGCTTATGGTCGCAATTGTGGAAACTAGGATTTTAGGATGCCACTTTCTGTGAGTGGAGGAGAAGTGATAAAGTAGACATGGGCATGGCTTGCGCACATTCAAATCACAAGGGTCCATACAGAAATCTTTATAGCTCCCTATGCTTAGGTGCTTTCTCAACCTTTGCCCTAGTTGATTGGGTTTCCTCCTGGAGGGTGTTGCACTGCGTCATTGACATCATAACAGTTGCCCTCCAAATGCAGATACTGATGAGCCACGGCAAGGGGAGGCATGGGAAGGCCCCCTAATGGGTCACTGGGCTGCAATGGCTCCCCTTGCGATTCGGCTCTGAAGCATGGGGTAAGTCGTGGTAAAAAAGGAAGCCAAACTTGAGAATGAAACCTCAAGGAAGCCTGCGCGGGCAAGAAGTTTCGCCGTTAGATCCAGCAGGCATCTCTCAAGCCATGCCAAGCCATACTGTAGGCCCCCTCTTTTGGAATCACCGAAGCGGCCATGTTCCACAACTTGGGGTGTTGTACAAGAGGGGCACCTCCAAACTGGTAGTTGTCCCTTTTGTTTTCCTTTTACTTGCTGGTGCACAGTAGGGAATGTGGGAGTGAATTTAGGGGTCCCCTCAAAGGAAAGCACCAGTTGGACGGTTTATAAGGGGCATTCCCTCCTTCCCTGCCTATCGCACCAGCAAGGTTTTGAACTACCCCAAAAAGCGCAACCTCAAAAAGAGGTCCGGTGCTCTGGCCGAGGCTTCAAAGGATGCTTTCGAGGCCTCCACCCATTGATTCACGGCACGGATGCCTTCCTCACCGAGGCGCGGCCGAAGGATGGCTGGTGAATTTTCAGTTGGGAGCCTGTGGTGGACGTCAAGATTCGTTGTATCCCCCAACTTTTCAGGTAGTTCAATAGTAAACTTGAGGGGTCTGATATTTGCTTTGGGCCTTCCTCTCTGGGATCCAAGGCACCAAGAGATCCCAACGACAAGTCACCAAGATCCACCTTCCGGGTTGCACGCAAGTACAAGGCACTTGCGCTCGCTCCAACTGATTGGCGCAGGCACCTGCCAATGCCGAGCTTCATTCGCAATCGCCAGCCCAGTCAGCCGCACTTTCACTGGGCAAGGACGTTCGGGTCGTTCAGGTTTTGGGGAAGGGACGTTGTGGCATACGTCGGTTCCAGCAGGGAGGGGTTTTACGCACATTGAGTTGCACAGATGCATCCGTTTGTCGTTTTAGTTGATGTCAAAGCAAGTTCCGCAACTAGCACAGGCTACACTCCAGGTTTGCGCCACTGTGCCGTCAGACTTCTTGCAAGGTTTTTGCAATTGCAGCCCTGGAGCCGGGAGGGGGCGGCTTGAACAGCTACACTCTCAACACACGGAGTCCCTTCAGAATGCGCATCTTGGCTCCCAGGGCTTTCACAGGCAGAGGTCGAAGGTTGGATGCGGTCCGAAGGATGAGCCAATTGTGCTGGCGGCGGCCGAGTTGGCAGCGGCTGAGGAGCTGGCAGAGGACGATTTAAAACGGGTCGCAGTGTGGGTGACGTTTGTTGGGGCTGAATGTCCGCATCGTGTTTGTGATTGTGATCTCTAGAATAGGCATCGTGTTGTTGAGTATGATATCGTGTGCGTGGCTTATACCCCTATAGCTCATGTATGATAATTATGTGTATAATTAATGTAGCTTTCCGTGGTTGTTATGCCTACTGGCTCATTGCCGCGGGAGGGCGGGGCAAGACTAGAAAGCGGTGCTCCTGTTTGAGGAAGAGCTGACGCAGATGGCGTTGCCAGAGGCAGCACCAGAAATGGTACCAGAAGCAGAACTTCCCGTGGAGAAGTTGCCCACCCTCCTGACGTCTAAGGCGGCTCTGGCCGCCAGGTCGTCCAAGGTTGTAGCGGCGCATGAACCTTGGTGTCAGTACTTTGCGGTGGTGTATCCAGTAGTAGTTTGAGGGCCTGGTCAATGCTAGATGGTCGGGATTTTTTTTTGTGGTGTCTCACTACGCACGGATTAATCTCTTCCCCCTATTAATAAATACGCCCCCCCCTATTGTACATATTTGTTTTAAATTGGGGTTTTTGTGGTTGGGTTTTTTGCTTTTCCAACAATGTGAGGGTTCACATAGGATTTGGAGGAAATGGATTGAATTGTAAGGTCCGCGAGTAAGCAGTTTAATAAGGAAATTTGATGTATCATTCTATTTGTTTACCAGTTTACTGGTTGTTTGTTAGGCACTGGTTTCCTTAATATCCCCCAAAGCATTGAAACTTGTTTGCATTGAAGTCAGGGAGTCAGGGACAACCAGGGACAACCTTTTGGGGACAGAGTCAAGAACAACCTTTTGGGGAACCCACCAAAAGAACCAACCGTTTGGGGAAGACAGCTTTTGGGGAAGCAACCTTTTGGGGAATTGAGGAACCCACCTTTTGAAAAGTGAGGCTGGAAGCTTGCTAAAAGTGCCCCCTAATAAGGATTCCAAGACTTTAGTATTGGCGCAATGGAAAATCAATTGTGCGGAGTGGAAATCTGGTCTCGGGCCCCGGATTTGCATTTATTATTAATGGGGGTCATTCAGTAATAGGGGGAGCGGATTAGGAGCATCGGGATCCCCGCTGTGAGCAACCCATTTGCAGGCAATGGTACGAGCACCTCAGGATGACAAAGGTGCCTTGCAGCAAATCTTCAGGTCGATCGTGTCACATGTTGCAACCTTCGCAGCACAACTTCGAGGCCACATTCTGCCTCTTCCCATCTCGAGCTCCCCAATCCAGGGACAAAACGAGCGAAAGCCATGTAGGTCCTTTACTTGGCGATCCAATTCTTCCTTCAGGTTTTGACGTGATGCCACAGGATCCTTGCCCGTATTCTCTCACTCCCTGACTTCCTGCACTTTAAAAGCTTTTTGGGAAGACCATTTTGAGTGGTCAACAAACCGTTTGGACTTGTTTCGGCCCATCCGCTCAGGATGTGAGTATTTGACTTGAGTGTTTTTTTTTTTTTTTTTTTAAATTTCAAACCCCAAAACAGTTGGTTTTCGTTTTGGGTTCCCCTTCAAAACCAAGGGGTACCTCCAAAAACGACGAGCCCAGTTGGCCCGAAGCTCGTTTTGGCGTGCTGCGCGGCATGTGCTTAGCCCAAGCCCAGGCAAGGAGCCGGAGGAGAAAGAGGAGCTCTCGCTGCTCACGACGGCTTGGCGGCCAAGTGAAAGCTCTTCCTTCCTGGGCCCCAAATGACTGTGGGTCAAAAATCGGGTAACCCCAAAATGGGTTGCCCTGGCAAGTGGAAACATGGACCAGAATCTGCGGTCCCCTGTTGGTTTAATCTTGACCCACACCCAAATGTTGACCCCATATTAATCAACCCAAGGTTTTTGATGGGGGGGTGTTCCCCTGGTTGATTGATACGGAGTCAATATTAAGCCCAGTGCTTGCTGTTACCAAGTGGTAGGTAACCAGGGAAACGATGTAAAACGCAAAGGCGAAACACACATGGGATTGCATCCATTGGTTTACCCAAGATAGACTTTAACCGGGCTCCTGCTACCTGGTGGGCAAACAATGGAACCCTGATACAGGAGCCAAATTTCTGCAGCTCTCAAAGAAAAGGAACATTGCAAGGGGCAGGGTGTAATGGCAGATCGGGTGGCTCGTTTGCTTACCCCATAAAAGTGACCGTGGGCGGCCCGCCGACCGCTTCTGGGGGGGTGGGGTTGCCAAGTTCCCTACCAGGAACGGCGGATGTGCCCAGGACGCCTTTGGGGTTGCTGGGTTCCATCGGGCTCCTGACGCTAAAAAGGTTCGGCGAGCCTCTTTTAAGGGGTGCCCACCCAGCAACGGCCCGTGTCCTTGCGTTGGCCCCGATTTCAAGCCAAGCTTGGCATTCCTGCTGCCCTTTCCCTTGCTTGGCCGCCTTTCTGCAGGTTGAGTCCCTGTGTTTGGCTGCAAAAGTGGACGTTGGGCCCTTGAAGGTGTACTAAAAGGGGTAGGCTGCAACAATGTGTTTTTTTTTTTTTGTATTTTGGCTTGCCCCTACAAGAGCGGTTTGTTGCAGTTCCTTAAAGGATATCAGAAACCGGGTGTCTTGGATGTGTCGACGCTTTGGGACATGTGTTTTTGGGTCCCTTAAAGGATTCAGCAGTGTGGCCAGCTGCATGGGATATTGCTATCCCAGTTGCATTGCCTCTGAATACTCGTGCGGTAAATGGCACACAAAGTGTTTCGAGGCTGTGACAAACGAGTGTACGTCCCTGCGTTTTTTTCCACAATGGCGGGACCTGGTCTTTTGCTTCTCTCCCTTTCGCAACTGGGCCAAACAGCAATCTCGGGAGCTGTGGCAAGACACGCAGACGTTCCCCTTTGCAACGTGAGGTCACATTCCTGGATATGTCAGCAGCATCATTGTTTTGTGGGCAAGCTGGATGTTTACTTGCGCAGTGGGTGGAGCGCCATTAAATTCCTTGAAATAGGGATCTTCACAACATATTCTGCACGCGCCAAAGCAGAAAGCTGTTGGGAGGTCTGGCGCTTCGTCCTTCCAACAAGAAAGGCCAGACACGCCCCTGATAGAAGCCACCCGTCCAACAACGAAAGGCACTTGTTTTGTTGGCAATTATGGAGGTGGGCAGGGGTCTTTTGGAAGACTACTTACTGTCCCCTTGAAAAGGCCCCAAAACGTCCACTTCCACAATCGTTGGAAAAAGGCCAGCGTCGATTACCCAGCATAAATTGATACCCAGTTGAATAATAGGGGTGCCCAGCAAACCGCCTTTCCAGCTTCGTGCAGAAGGTACAGAACCCACCTTCTCAGATCCACCAAGCCACCCGACTGAGGCCTACAACTCAGCAGATGTGTCCGCTGCCTCCACGCCTGTGAAGCCCTTTGGCTGCTGCACGGACCATGCCGCCCTGGATGTGTTGGAATGGCCGGCTGAGCAGCTACCTGCCCGGAAATTCTGAACATCCGTTCCAGTCGTAGAGCTCCCACCAATTAAACAGGAACCTGACGGGGGGGTCCTGGAAGACCAGTTTCCCTCTACAGGGGCCGGGCCCTTCAGGTTCCATGTTAGTTGGTGGGAGGGCATATATGTATACACATATACATATGTATATATTTATATATATAGGCATGATGAAGGCACATGGGGAAGGGATGTCCAACTTTACATGTGGTGCGACGGCTTCGTAGGCTCTGGGAGGTGTCCAGCAAGGTGGGGCATGCGGCCTGGCACGGCAGCCTGCAGGCCGGGTGAAGCCAATTGGGGCTCCCCGAGCCGATCTCCAAGTGGATGCCTGCGGATCGTTTTGTTTTTGGCGTGTCTTTGTTTGAGGGTACCCTTTTGTGAGGTTTTTAAAAGACCCCCTCCTCCCCCACCCCCAGGTCCCCTAAACGAAATTTACAACATGGGGACAAAAGAATGGGGACAAGACCCACATTTCAACGATAAACCAGGGGCCAGTATTATTTGTCCGTCAGTCAAAGGGAACCCTGTGAAACCCAAGAGGACCTGCCCATTTTAAAGGAGCCATGATCAAAATTGCTGGTTTCCCTTTGGTTTCTCGTGTGTTTTAACCCACTCCAAAAGAACCAATCCCAAAGGAGTACGCTCAACAAACATACAAATCGCGACCCTTTCGCTGGGTGACAATACGCGTTTAATGTTGCAAGAAGCCAAAAGGGGATGGATGATGTAGTGATTTCTGCTAGAGACCCCCCCGCCCACATTTACAACTTCTAAGGTCCTATTTATTTTTTGCCGGTTTCCCAACACTGAGGCATGGTAATGTGGTCATCCCCTCTTTGTTCAACCACATGCGCCTCAGGTTGCACATGTTGCATTTGATCATTTGCCTCTTGCGGCTCCCTGTTAACGCGGCCAGTATGCCGCGCGCTTCCAGCATCTGACTGAAATTTGTCGGTTCTCGAAAAATGTATTTGATTTGATCTGTGAGATTGCATCGAAACAGCAGCTTTTTTTTCTTGCGCGCTGCAAAGGCTTAAGGCCCTGAATTTTATTCCGCAAGTCCTGAGGCCCCAAACAGGGACACCTCCCTTGAAGTGCACAGGGGAAGTCGTGTGGAGACTCTGCCGCTGTTCTCCGCAAGTGAGTTCCCTAAAAGTGATGTTTCAAAAGGATCTAATGCACACCGCATGTATAATATGCCTAGAAACCATGTAAAACCTAGAGGAAAATGAGCCCTGGTTACCTGTGGCTCACCCACCGGGTCTAAAGACGACCTCTCGCCGCGCAGGTGGCAAGCTTCCTGTCGCAGCAGCTGCACGTGGCGGCACAGCTGGCGAAGCCTCACGTGGAGTCCTTGGCCAACTCCGCGGCGCAGGCGCTGAGGCGCACTCGCAGGGGATGCGCTCGGAGGGATGCGAAGGCCAAATGGCCATGGGTCAAAAGCCAAATCGGTTAGCCCCCAGACATCCCAATCCAAGCACTAAAATAGTTCTACAATGGGTGGTGCACCTATCCAAAAATGGGATCCCATTGGTTTTGACCCACAGCCACATGGCATGCCGCTTGGGGCTGTGCCCTGTTTTCTGGGGTTTGGATGTGTCGTGGAGGCTCCAGCATGCCCGGCTGTTGGGCTTCCAGGGAAAGAAGGATCAGAAGAAAACGGGAGCATTTGCCCTTCATTTTGTGGCAGTGCCTGTGGATGTGTATCCCATCAAACCCCTGCCCAGTTGAAACCATGTCAGGCCTCGGATTCGGATGTGTCTCAATGGAGGTTGATCCAAGAGGTCCTTTACATGGGACGATTATTGGGGAAAACCACGAAATAGCTGCTATGCCCCACCAAGTCGGAAAAGTTACTCATGGTCATTTGAGGGCCGAAGGGAATATTGATCCACTCCCAAATAGGGCAGCGCCCCAAAGTGAAACTGTTCCACAAAATCCCGCCAGAAAGTGGAAAGGTTTGACTTCCTGCTCGGTGTTCCGCAGTTGTCCAGGTCCCACAATTGTTTCATTTCCGGTTTTCCAGTTTCACTCCCGGCACAAGGCCCGACACCAAGCGGGAGCTCCTGCCCATGCCCAAGTCCACCTGGGAGGCGCGGCACCAGATAGACTCAAAGCCAGAAACTCGGCCCTGCGGAGTTTCCTGTTTTTGGGCCGCGTGTTGTTGTTTTTTTTTTTTTTGGGGGGGGGGCGGGGGGTTAACGTTTTGTTGTTTGTTCTTGTCTTTTTTTGCTCGGCCCCAGAAGCGGAAAGTAAAAGGTCTAAAAGGTGATTACCTCTTGTTTCTGGGTCCAAACTGGGCTGGAGGATGGTTCGAGGGAGCCGGTCCCTTTCAGTGGCCAGCATCAAGCAGCCTGGCCGTGACTGTTTGGGTCCTTTGCGGGAGCTGAATGCAACTGCCAACTGAATCTGAGTCGATTTTGCACGTGCCCTCCCCAGTGCCGAGTCTCTGACGAAGAGTGAGACCTTTAGGATACACCAATACAACAGCAGAGGGCGAGAGAGAGAGAGAGAAGCTATATACACATATATATACATATATATATATATATATACGACGAAGACGGACGGTTTGCCGTCGGCCGCAATGATCATTTATCACGCTTCCAGCCACGGCAGTGCGTCAGGTGAGAAGCTGTCACGCGGGGGAAGCTTAACTTGCCCCCGAGACAGCGCCAATCTGTACTGTTTACAAGCCTTCAAGATGGTTCCTATGCCTGGCATCCTATGCAAAGCTGCCGAAGCAAGAACCTGGACCCGCTTCTTCTTTGAAGAGCCATTCCAGCGGCCAAGCACTCCAAGTCGCCGCATGTTGCCTTTCACAGCACCCAGGCGACCTTCCGCCTTATTATCTCCAGCAGCAACGCTGAAGGACTGGCGAGTTTCACGCCAGGTTTTTTCAAAGTGCGGTGAGCAAAGGCCCCTAACTTGGACTTGGGAAATGTAGTAAGCGGTGTAAAAACCTTGCGCGTGACTCACCCCCTTCAGCAAGGGCTTCTGCGGCGAAGAGCACGCCTTTTGGAATGCACAAGACCCGTCTGGGGCCACAAGCACTCCTGCTTTCAGGGCGCGCTTGAGGTGAGGCTCAACTTCCTCCGCAGACTCCGGCCCGCCACTGCCTCGCTTCCCAGCAGAAGCTTTGTCTTTCAGCGCATGCACTGACCAGGTTTTGTTTAGGCGAGATTCCATCACCATAGTTCTGCCAGCAAAAATGCGGACACCATCCGCATTTTTACGCCTCATCCCAAACTGTGCAGTGTCTGTTTCGACTATGTCGTTGGCGAAGGTGACCTGCTGGCCATGCTCCGTCTCCTGAGGTTGCCATGCCATGAACGGAGGACGCACTGTTCTGGTGGCTTTGGGAACATAAAGAAAAAGATAGAAAGCTGGCAAAAAGATAGATGCTGTCTGCTGGAACTGAACGTGACAAGACCTGCGAAAGCAAACGAACACCAAGTATTTCGTGAAACAAGAGGTATCAACACAAGTTTCAACCGAGCCCGACCAACCGCCATGCTGAAACACAAGGGCCTGGTGAAAGTCATCTAGTTCTTGAAGTGGACAAGGGAAAAAAGTTGCAACAGCGTGAAGAGGCGGAGGAACATGTCGCACAGACCAGCCACGTAGACGAAGAAGGTGATTATGGCCAGGGCTTCCACGAAAGGCAACATTGGGGCTAGAAAGAGAACCAAAATGACTGCGGGGGTGCCTCGGAAATCAAGCAGAATGCCACTAAACACAACACAAACGGGGGCCTCGTACCTCAAGAAACAAACACCCAAACCCACTGTGTGCGGTCGCACGTGGTTATTATTACCCCCCCCCCCCCCCCCCATATCACCCCCCCCCCCCGCTGACATGTGTCAGCGACGGTAAACCACCCGTGCTGCGGGTATATATATCCATATAGATATACATAGCGATATACTGCATTCACCTGCACATATATGTATAAGTATATGTATATATGCATATGTTTAGATAATATCATGCTTCATTTCACGCGGATGGATCTGACAATTCTAAAGTGACCCTCCATCCGGATCACTCCGTCAGGCCAACCACAAGCGCGCCGGGCTCACGCCCCCCAACCTTGCCGCAGTGATGCCGGACCTGGCGCAGTATGACGTGTGTCAGAGGACTTCGCCGTTTGGCTGCAGTCGACGTGTCGCGCATGGCACAGCAGCTCGAAGAAACTCGGAAATTTTGCCAACAAATCCCTGTGGTCATTGTTGTTTGGCGCTCTTGTGCGTTGTCCTGGAGGCCTCCTTCAAAGCATTGTCCAGTTCTACATTGGGCCCTCCTTCAACGCAGTTTTGCAAGTTAATCGGAGAATATTTTCGGTGTATTCCAGATGTGTGGAATGAGAAGAAAGTGGAACAGTGTGTTGGGATGGGCAACGCAGCTGCTTTTGCTACATCCTACCCAGTTCTTCAGTGGAATGCTCAACCCCAAGATTCCAATTCAGCGGTGCAAAAAAAAGGCGTCAATTCTGCAACCACTGGGCAACGTGCATGAAACAATGCAACCATTGGGCAAAGCACGACTTTCTGCATTTTTAATTGCATAGGTCAAAAGCAATTCCTTACGCATAGTTTCATTCACATGTTTTTTCATGGGAGGTTGGCCAGTGCGCCGTGCCCTCCCCCGCGCATGTGGCAACTTGGCCGACGGATGTTCAGGAATTGTCTGGGCAAGGTATTGGAGTAGTTGGCCATGTAGAGCAGCCCGTTCTCTATGCATCTGGCCATGCTTTGCCTTTTTCAGTACATTTCAGCACCGGTGTTTTACTGTGCAGTTCTTTGAGAAACGCAGAGACAGTTTGTAGTTGCCTGGCCCTATGCATTTGTCAGGAACAGTTGCCAGATGCCTGTAGCCGACAGGCGCGTTCGTCAGACACCGCAATCTCAGCATTTGCAATTCTGAACGTCTAATAACCCCCTACCCACCAGAATGCTACTCATAACACTTCGGTCATTACCCACAATTATCAGAAGGTTCTCAGAGCCCTATTTGGGTGGGCGAGTCCTGGGCGAGGTTTCTCCAGAACAGTGCCTGATCAAAGCTCGTGCGCACTCGTGTGGAACCTTTGCGACAGGAGCTGTCCTTTCTTGGAGGTCCCGCTCAAAGATCTCCAAACAAGGTCTTGTGGGTATGTAAATCTGAGAGCAGCTTCCCGATTTTATGCACGGGGTTGATGAATCCGGCGACATTCACGTGCTCCGCTCCGCCCTCTCCTTGCCAGGGTGGGAAAGGGTTAGTTCCCATTTGTGATGCGTTTGATTGAGAATTATGTCATTTGGAAGGCCTCAAATTCGGTGCTTTCAGTTTACCCTTGTAGTTTTTGTTTTTTTTAATCAGGACACGGCCATTGCAAGGAGGGGCACCCGTGGGGCTTGCAAGGAGCATTCGCAAATACTTCAATTTCCTTAAAATTAGCGAACCAAGAATCAGCTGCCAAAGATAACCACACAGGCAGCGATCCGCTTTGTGTTTAGGTCATATTGGCTACAATGCAGACTCACGAAGCAATTGTGGATTTATGTTGAGTGTTTATGTGTGTTGGACACTTGTTTTTTTTGATTGCTTGGCATTGTTTGAATGATGTTTATGGATTTTGACTGAAACAGAAGTATTCGGACTGAACCATACTGTTTCTCAATGAAACCGTGTTTTCCCAAATGTTTTGGAAGGCAGCAGCTTGCGTGATCAATAGCGCTTGATAGTAAGTAGCCTTGACAATCCCGACGTGATACATGAAGTAGGTAAGGGGACCCATGTAAAACCTAGAGGTAAAGATACCCAGGAAACCACGGTGGTCACACTGTTGAAGCTGGGACAGCAGTGAGAGGGCAATACCAACACTAACGGGTGGTAAAGGAGCCAACTGGATGGTACCAAAGATTTGCCTGGGAGCCTTGCGGAGAGTTGGTAAAGGCAAAGCTGCCAGGCCCCGGCAAGCTCAGAGCTTTCCGGCGCTGGCGGGCTACGACCCCTCCAGGGATGCGCGTTTGCGGTACTCCATGGGCGTCCCGCCGAGCCAATCCTTCGCAGGCGCTCCAGGCCAATTCGGATCATAGCGGGGACAGTCCCCTACCACCGTTTGGCAGTCGAAGACCTGCCCACATTCGGATCTCCATATAAACAAACATGATTTTGAACATGAAGTTTAACTTGGAGAGCTTTGAGTGAATTCATGTTTGCATGGATTCGCAGACCTGAGCCTTCGCTTGACATACGCACCAGGGATCCTTCTTAGAGGGAAACTCATACGCACCAGGGATCCTTCGTAGAGGGAAATGTACTTCAATCCAACGGCCCTGTGGTTGCATTGCGAGGTGATTGCCTGATTTGTTGGGGGGGTTTCCTGTAAGCAACATTTGGAGGGTCATCCAAGGATCCTTGCACATGTTGAATGGGGGAGCGGGGCTTTTCGATCCCTGGAGATCGTGAGGGCTATGGAGCTGGCCCCCATTGCCAGACTTGGCTCATCGGTTTTTGGTTTTTACTTGTGGCTTTAGTTTCCCTTTCAATCGGTAAACACGTTCACTTGTTGTATATAGGGGCTCGGATCAGTGAGGCCCAGAAGGTTTGTCAAAGCGAGAGGGTTCTTTGAGAGGATCCGGAAAATGCTCATTACCCTTTAGCCCATGCCCCAAATGGGTCCAAAGCAGAGGGCGTCCTTTGGTTTCAAGCTGGATTTTCCTCTCTGAGACCGCAGAAAGGGCACGCGCACCGTCACCGCAGACTCATTCTGCGGGTTGTTTCGGCCAGGTGTCAATATGGTGCCGCATCTCACACCGGCCTCCAGCTTTCGCTCTGATGTTCCGCGGCTCCCGTACGCTTCGAGCTTTCAATCAGGCAGGCTTGCTTGCAAGAAGTGCGTTGATCACAACCAGATCCTGCCACCTTGAAAGATTGAATCAGAGGTGTTTAAACAACTCAGAGCTGTGTAATAAGAGGAATCTCCTTGGGGGATATCTCTTTGAGTTCCATGTGTTTCCCGCTAGGAGCCAGCTTTGCGGCGCCGCCGCTGGCATCCAGCTTTCGGGAAGTTCATCAATTTCAGCAGGGCCTTTCTTCAGGCTTTGAGCCCGTGGCACACAGCCAGGCACGGGCGCAGTGCTTCGTTTGGGAGCAACGTTACCGGAGCCTGCAAAGTGCATGGAAGCCGAGACAAGGGATTTGGAAGACGAATTATTGGGGAAGCCCCCGGCCCGCTTCCGTTAATTGTTGGAGAGAGGGTGGCTCGGGAGATCCGGTACTTCCTTGGATCACTGAAAAGCGCAAGCAGCTGTAGCCAAGCTCCACAAGAGAGGGAGAGAAGATCCAGCCCATGACCCTCACCCAGACCTCCTGTCAGACCATCCCTTTTCCTATGTTGGAAAGAATCAAATCAAGACGGTCCATTTTTCCCATGGCCACAGGGGGTCTGATGTGTCAATTTGCTTTGCTTCAGCCAGCGAACAGATCGATCGGCGGGTCGGCGTTGTGCATGGCCTGGCCAGGCAAAGATTCTCGGAACCAAGCTGGGTGAGAGGCGGCCCTTGTCAGAGGCCAGAATTCGGCCCTACGTCCAGCCGCAGCAGGACGTGACTAATTCATGAGCCCACGAGCGGCTTCAACATGACACGTGTGACATGCTTAATGTACAGCGACCGAGGAATTCGCCTGTCGGCTTTTTTCTTTTTTTCGATAGAGACCATCAAGGAATGGAACTTAGCTTGGTGTTCAGGCAGGCTACTAAGAGTGGCTCCAGATGTACAGGGTCGACATGCTGCATGACTCCAGAGAGGCAAGCTTGTTGGTGGCAAGAAGCAGGTTTCTCCACAGCAGTAGTTCTCTTGGAAGATTGGCTGTTTCCTGGAACGAAATGCATTTTGCCTAGTTTCGGCTTGGACCGTCAAAGCATGGTGATGGCATAGCCTGGCTTTTCTCCGGCCGGCTGGGTGGCCGTCGAAGACCCGTGAGCGCAGCATGCAAGCCACGCTTTTTGCAGCAAGGGAAAACAAGTTATGCGTCGCCGGCTCAAAGCGGTGCCAGTCCGAGCGGCAAAAGCTGAATGGATTCTGACAGAAGCATTCCCAACGTGGACATTTATGGCGGAAAGGTGCGACAGGGAACTCAACCATGGGAAAATGCAAGCTGCTTGTAGTCGGATTGATCTCGGATGGCGTGGACAAGTGGGAACAAACACAACAGGAGAAAGAAAGGAGAAAGAAACAAAAACGTGTGTCGAACGTTGCCTGAAGCAGTTCGTACTTGCTTGAGGAGTCTTGCGAGGTGCGGTGCCAACTGCTGCAATTGTCATCGCCAAAGTGCAAGTGTTACAACACATTGGCCGAAAGCCTTGGCCCTTGCTCTTGTTTTTTTTTCCCTTATGCAAGAGAGGGCCGCTACGGCTTGATTGCAGTCTTTCCTGGATGTCATCTTTTCGAAGCGGATTTCAATTCTGTACGGGGACTGCATCAGGAGCAGGCTCTTGCTTGCGCTCTTCAAGATTCGTTGGAGACATTCTTTGGTAGGCTGTTATCGGCCATTATACTCATGGTATGGGACCTTTTGCTACAGTTGGTGCTTGTGAGACCTTGTGAGCCTACTATGCTAATGGTGCTGCATGTGGTGTTGGCCTTGGCCGGCAATGGCTTGGCTCGGTGCACGCGCAGGTCGACAGCTCTCTCAGGCGAAGAGCAGCGCATGAGGCAGGAGCCGCACTTCCATCTCCATCTCTGTGGCATTTGCTCCCCCTAGTAAAACGAGGTCACCATGTAGGCCCGTGGATCCAGTTCTGTTTGGAACGCTTTGGGCACTTTGGAAGTTGCAGGTATAAGTTCACCGCGTTCCTGAGGTGCTTGAGGGCTTGCCCTAATTGCCTCTCCAACACTTGATCCTGGCGGGTGGACGGACCTCCTTTTGAGATGACGTCTGCCAAAACATTCCCTAAACCTGCGGTGCACTTCCATGATTGTCGGCAAGGAGGTAGTATTGACTAACTATGCCAGGTTCTGATCATGGCTCACCCTCTCAAGCAAAGTCTGCGCACGTCCGAAAGCAGCCAACATGGCACACACACACACACACGCACATTTTCAGAAAGCAGCGAAAACATCACGTGCCGCAGCTTGCGCTGGGTAGATGAAGGTTAGTAGGGGGCAGTTCCAATCATGAATAGCTGAATTTTGTTTTGTTTCACGAAGGCGCATCGGAATGATTGATCACGACTCAACATCATCCAAAGCAAAGTCTGTACTTCAGAAGCTGTTTTGCTTGCATACAAATAATTCCGCTTAGGCTTGGGGACATGCTAATACGGTCTCAGAGCTGGGTCACACTGCAGTGGAAAGAGACCCAGCTCGCCTTCTCGCTTACAACTTTCTTTATTCCTCACTTCTCTTCTTCATTATCTATTTCTGGTTTGTTAGTAAAGATAGATGGGGTTCAAGCTTCTTAGAAACAAGGAAATACATAATGAAAGGATAGATGTCGTTCCCTTCCTCACCATCATCGTCTCCCGCCACACTGCGAGGGTGGTACTGACCAGAAGCCTGACTGTCATAGTTAAACGGCATTCCAGCAAGTTGTATTTGCCCCTTGGTCATGGATGTGGGATGCTCAGGCTGAAGAGGTCAGCTGAGAGGCTTGCAGAATGCCAGTGCTTGCTCCAACGCCCTGAGTTTTTGGAGCTCAGTCGGCTAGCGTGGGACTGTGTACTCGGGCCATTCTTCCGACCCACTTGGCCTCGTGAGCGACACCGCAAAACAGCCGAGCAGCTAGTGGGAGCGTGGTGCATGCCGCCACAAGTGCAGCGCAGTTCAATCAAAGCCAGAAAAAGTCGCTGTTGACCTTGCAACTGGCAGCCCATGATTGCATGCCTCTGCAGGTGGCAAACATGAATATTGATCTGGACTTGATCTATTATTTTGCCATTTGGTTCCAGGACGCAGGCAATGAATGGCCGATATGAAAATCCAAGCATTCTATTGAAGCCAGGCCTTGAAGCCACCGTCAGTCGCAGTTCCTTGGCCTGTGCAAAAAATCCGCTTGCCATGGCCATTGCCTTTGCGCTGCCGCGCGGGCAGGACATGGCACCAAAGATGCGGGCAACAAATGCAAGTGGGCGCAGCCCATGTTGGTCCACTGTCAGTTGCCCCAGAAGGCTAATTTCTCCTTGCAAATCAAGATGGAACCCAACAGGGAAACTGCTAAAAGTCATGGGCATTTGGATAATCCGCAAAGGGAGCAGACAGATTGGCAGGATGTCGGCGCTTTGCGGCCGTTGCCACGCTTCATGGCTGGATGTTTTCACAATTGCGTGCCGTATGGCTTCTTGATTTTCTCAGGCCAAAAAAAGGCCGGGTTGCCAATTCTGTTTTTTTGGACCCCTTCAAAGGCGGACACCCACACATATCATATGTGTGTATACACACACATGCACACGCACAGACACAGACACGGACACGGACACGGACACGGACACAGACACAGACACACACACACAGACACAGACACACACACACAGACACAGAGACACAGACACACAGAGACACAGACACGCAGACACACAGACACACAGACACACAGACACCCAGACACGCAGACATGCAGACATGCAGACACGCAGACACAGACACACACAGACACCCAGACACCCAGACACACAAACACAGACACACAAACACAGACACAGAGACACAGAGACACAGAGACACAGACACACAGACACCCAGACACGCAGACACGCAGACACGCAGACACACAGACACCCAGACACCCAGACACCCAGACACACAGACACACAGAGACACAGAGACACAGAGAAGAGACACAGAGACGCAGACACGCAGACACGCAGACACGCAGACACGCACACACGCACACACACAGACACACAGACACACAGACACACAGGCACACACACATATACATATATATATATTTATTTATTTTTTCTTCAACCTCACATGTCGTGTTTTTGCCAGGTCCGCTATTGAACACCAGGTGCCAGTTGTTACACACATTCAGTTTGGCATGCCTTGCGACACGTTGAATGGGGAATGTCAGCTGAAATCAAACTGCTGTGAGCCCTGGGTGCCTGCTCAGAAAGAGGAGCATAAAACTGCGACAAACCTGAGACCCGAGAAATATGACAGGACTGAATTTTCGAAGATCTGGCTTTATGCAAGACGGCAGCGGTTTCCCTTGTTGTGACCCACTACGGGTTGAGGATTTGGAACATCGGGATGTCCCTTTCTGAACAACTCATTCCTGGTGAGAGCATGATAATCTGATAGGAATGTGATCGCCAACAAGCATTGAAGCCCTTTGAACACGAAGGCTTTGCGTTTGGAAAGGATGTTTGTGCACCAAGCCATATTTCACGGAGATCTGTCACGGAACTCTGCGTGTGTGTTTGCCCCCAAAAAGGGTTGCTTTCATTGGGTTTCCCTCTAAACCGAATGCCGCGCGCTCTCAGGTGGCGGGGTGGAAGCTCCGGCTGCGGAAGTTGGCCGATCTGGTGGAGAGCTGGGCGCCCTGCTCAGCGGGACGAGACGGGAAGCGTTGGCTTTGGTTCGGCCCAAGGGCGGGGTTTCCTTTTGGCCCCCGGTAATTTCCCCCGCGAACAAAAATGGGAGTGCACAGATCCTTTTGCAGTTTTGCAAGGTCTCGTTCCACTTTTGAAAAGGGCCGCTCTGCACTTTCACGCTTGGCAGGGGTAGCCCAAAAAAAGGACATGGGGCTTGCAGAATGTCTAGGAGCCGTATTCGCCCTATGATCATGACTTGATATCTGTCTTAGTACCCCACAACCCCATTTACAAAGATGAGCACGCTGCAAACTACTCGTGGCAGACAACGTGCCCCCTCAAAGGAGAATTCCTTTAAACATGACTATGTTTGTGGGTTCCATTTGCATAAGCTTCCTGAAAATAGCAGCTGAAATGCAAGTTGCCAAACCCAAGTCATGCAACGTGCACCGTATTTAGAGCAATGGATTCGTTTCACCCAGCCGCACCTACCGCACCGCAGGTCTCGCTTTTGCCGCTGCCGGAGCCGCGCTGGTGTCGCTTCGACGGGTGACGCGGCGGGCGACTGCGACGGATGGTGATGGCCTGCCTCGACGTGTGGCACTAGGCCAGACATCCGCGTTACAAAAGGCTGGGTGAATTATGACGACCTCACACGACCTCACCCCAAATGGTGGTTTATGTGGGGAATAGACCCCCAACCAGCTTATTTCAGGTTGGTGAAATATTATACTTCACCCAGAAAAGGGACAGCTAGACTGACTAGACCGAAATTTGGAAATTACACCATCTACATTATCTCACCCAACTGTATAGCAACATGCGCCTATAGGTCCCTTCTAAACATTGACCCCAAAGAAGATTGGCCCCAAAGATGCGTGAAACCAGGGGAAATCTAGGCTTGCCTACGCGTAAGTTAATAAGTTGGTGGTTTCCTGTGGGCTTCCTTGAGAAAACCGAATTACCATCAAGCATTTTCGCAGAAAGGGAGCTGCGCAACCCACTGTACTTTCTCAATGTTTCTCGCTGTAGATGGTCTGCTAGAAGGCCTGAGTGAATGCGGTCGTGTGGTGTGGTTGCAGCCGGGCGCCCGATGTCAGATTCGGAGAAATGAACAAACCCAATCCGAGATGAATTCCCCTAAGATGGTTCATGTCCATTTTAAAAGTGGAGCCATCCCTGAATAGACTGGTCCTCCGCAGTTGGCACTACTCTAAATGTTCAATTCGTCGGTCTCTTTGTGGCACCCTTTTCGGTGGGCAACAACGTAGATGTTCAACGCGGTGATCTCTGGTTTCTAGCCCGTCTTTAACCCTTAAACGTGGAAGGGTCCACAGGCGAGGGGCTCCTAGCCAGACCCCTCCAGACCTCCGTGATTCCTTGCTTTTTGGAGTCTGTTGGAGGCTTTGGGTTTCCGTTTATTTGGACCCTGGAGGTGAGGGCGAACATAGATCCCAAGCCCCAAGCCCACGAATTCAAGCCCAGAGAATTGAGTTGGTCAAGGAATTTGCAAATCGATGGTTCATTTGGGGACGAGAAGGGGGGAGGCGGGGGGGACGAGCTCGAAATCTTCCACCAACCAGAAAACGGACCTCCCCCATTTTGTTAAAATACCAACACAACATATTGTGCCCAGTGAAACACCATCAACAGGTGGACCCTTCGGTTGAGCAAGGCGTGCCCAAGGTGTAGACACCCAAACTTTGTTTCTTTGGGCTGCGGTTGCGCACCGTTTCGAGGCCTGGGCGGCGCTGGCTTGTCGTTGGTGGCCTTGAAGCGCTTCGCCATTGACGGGCCGCCGGAGTTCGACCCGGCGGAAAACTCGATGCGGGGGAGCCTTGGGTGGAATTGAGTGGATGCCGTTTGCTTTGGCTCGGGTTTCCGAGTCATTCCCCTTTTTTGGAACCTTCAAAAGTGGCGATGCTTTGAGTGGAAACCACCCGCAAATTGCAAACTTTTGAAGGGGAGTCCAATGCCTGTTCCAGGTTGCCTAGACCTCCTTGGTTTGTTTGGGAAAAGGCGGAGAGAACGACCCCTTGCCCGATGGGAGCCATGACCGCCACCCACAAGTTCATGACGCAAATGTTGTTCATTCGAATGTGGTGTGTATTGCACCCTGGTATTTCACTTGGACATTCCTAATGTTAATGTTTAGTCCAGAGAACCAGATATGGTTGCTCATGTTTGTTTTAATTCAACAAGTTATATATAATGTTAGCACAAAGATAATCAAACATAATTATTATTTAATATCATATTCGTTTGCGGTTGTTATAGTACGAATAAAAGTATTATCACGTATTGTCGGTAGAAAAATAGATAAAACAACGAATATAATTAATATTTAGTGGTTCAATCTTTGCTTTTTCGGCCCACGCCGCAATCATTTCCACAAGGCGTACTCGGTTGTATGGGCCTTTGGTTGATCCACCGCATGTTTTGACCATCCCTTGTGGGCACCGTTTGATATTTGCATTTTGATGCCACGTGTCTTCCATAGGAAGACGGTGCTGATCACCGGTGGCAATACAGGCGGGGTGCTGGGCGCAACCTTAAGTGGAACCCACAAAATTTTCCTAGGAGAGTGCTCCAAGCATTGTGTTGTTTGGCTTTCGGTCTTAACCTGTGGGGGTCAAACAATTTTAAGAATGAGGTTTGAGTGGAGGACAGAGGGGGTTGAGGGACTTAGCCAAAGCAAATCTGAGAATCTGAGGGCCTGAGCTGGGGGGAGCCCTCAAAATGGTCCTGTTGAAGCCCCAGAAAAGGCAACCTCAACGAGCCACCCGGATCTAGTATCTGCATGTTCTTTTGGCTCGGCCATAGCTGCTTGGGCAGTGCTCGGTGCCAAGTTGCTGCCTATCAGTTCTCCGGTGTTTTCCATCATGACTTGACTTGGTCCGGAAAACCTGGCCGAGCGGCGCCACCTCTTTTGTTTTGTAAGCCCAGGCCTCACGTTGCAAGCAAGATTGCCACTGGTGATGCACAAAAAAACGCAAAAGCTGTTGACCCATGCAGTCTGAGGTTGCGCGTTGCTTTTTTCTGCAAGCAATCTGACGCCATACATGGGACAAGGATGGCATCCTAGCTGCCTGGCAAGATCGACAGGAAGGATGAGATTCGGATGCCAAAGCAAGTAAGTTGTGCGGAAGAGCTGGGACGCGTGCGGAGGTTACGGCTCGGCTGCGAAAGGCATGGGTACAACTGAAAGAGGTATTTTGGTGAAAGCAGCGTGTTCGCAATACTGAATGTTTGATGAATGTGCTTCACACGCCCCGATGTCGTGCCCTAAACTAGCAAATCCAATTTTGATGAATGTAACAATCCCCTTCGTTCATCCACCCTCTTTCAGGTGAGAGGGGGACCCACCCACCTACCCACCCACCCCACCCACCCCACCCCAACCATCCACAACCCACCCGACCCGCCCACCACCCAACCCACGGGATGACTCGCACGCCAGGCCTGGGCAAGGAGTCCGCGCTGCGCCTGGCGCGCGGGGGGGCCACGGTGGTCCTAACGGCTCGCTCCGAGGCCAAGGGCCTCGAAGCCGCCGAGGCGGTGCGCCTCGGAGCTCGGGCGGAGTTTTCGCGGATTGGCGGAAGTCGACTGAGTCACAAACACCCGGTATGAGCATGTTTTGACCCAGAGCCAGAAGGAAATACACGGCCGCAACTTTTTCTGGCTGGGATTGGCCTGATTGTACTCAGTTGAAGTTCTCCAGACAATGGGGCTTTAGCCTTAAGAGGTGACACATCCACCTCAGGGACGCAACTGCAGCACTAGACTTCTTGGTGGTTTCGGCGGATTTTCTTTTTGACAGAATACCAGTCAGACTTGGCGGATATGTTGTTTGTTAACATCAGCTCAGGGACTTCTTGAAGTGGAAAGGTTTGGAGCTTGTTAATTGGTTTTGTGGTAGTTTTCATTGAAACCATCTAAAAGTTGGATATTAAGCCTTTTTGGGATGTAGTGGTTGGGTTTAGTGGTTGGGTTTCCATTGGACAAACCGAAAGTTTTGTAGGGGAGTTGAGGACAACCCAGATTTGAGTCAGTTTTTGGTAAGACCATCTTAGGTTTGGCACATGGCCTGCCCCAATTGTGGCCCACCCATTTCATGGTTGAAATCTCCAAATGTGTGCCAACCGTACCTATGGGTTGGAATGCGAACTGATTATTTCTCGCTAGGGACAAATAGTTTGCATTGTATATGTTTGTTGGCCAATCAGGAATGGATGCAGGGCGTGAAGGGGGCATGGACCAGGGTTCTTCTCGAGAATGTGACCCCTGGAGATCAATACTCAAAATCCTCCAAAACAAATCAAAGGAACACTACCCAACATGTTGAGTTTAAGGGACAAGGGGGGGAGGGTTAAACTTCGGCTGTTGGTTAGCTAGTTTGCAGAGCCACTTTTGGCAAGTCGTGGCCTGCTAACGTCCCAACGCCTTCGCTTGTTTACCTTTCAATGATAGGTGCAGAACATTGCGGGCCGCTTGAAAAATGCTCCATTCAAGAAATCGCGAGTCGGGCTGGAAGGCTGCCCCATTGGAATTCGACTGGCAGCTGGAACAGCTGGAACAAGGCATTCCTTGAAACATCTCCGAGCAGTGTGGCTGTGCAAAGCGACCCTGTTTGAAGCAGTACGAGAGCTTACTCTATGATTGATACATGGGCGAGAGCAGCATGCCTACTTGTTGTGAGTGGTCTGCTTCGCAGCTCGCGGCACATTGCAGGTATCCTGAAGCCGTCTTTAGTCTTTGGAAGGCTTGAAACACCGTAGGACGGGGTTTGGGCAGGGGACAGGGGACTGTCTAGATCTGCACCTGCAACCGGCCCCAAAGCAAGTTAATGGTGCTACATGGGATCACACGTGTTAAAACTTGTCGTGCGATGCTGTGCCGACCCCCGGAAGTTGCCAGAAGCCTTGTATTGCATTTCAGTTTAGCAGGACCAAATGGGTGTGTTACCCTGTTTGGAGTAAGAGGAACAATATTTCGCAAAACCAATGTCAATGAGGGAACCTTTTTTTTTTGGGGGGGGGGGGCACCTGTTTTAAGACACGCTCAAAGGTTCCCAATGCGCCAAGGAAAGCTGCCAGTGGCAGTGATGATGTGCACTTCTTGCAGTGCCCTGGCTAACGCAGCGCACGTCGTTCGCTTGGGCCTATGAGTGTGACGTCCTCAAAATGGGTGGCTCGTGTTCTTTGAGGTTGGACCATGGGTTTTGGTTTTTCTGCTGATTTCCAGGAAGAAACAAGTCCGACCCGGCGGTATGGGGGCTCAAGAAAGGAAGGCCCAAATGTTCCTCATGGTTGAAAGGGAAGCCACAGGTGAAGTTTCAAGAATTTGGGAGCCAGCCTAAGGATGTGGAGCTGGGGTCAAGATCAAGTTGGGTCAATGTGTCTCTCTTTTTGACAAAAATGGGGTTGCCAACAAGGGGAAGCCATTCCCCCCCCCCCTAAAATGGAATCGTGGGAGGGGGCTGACCCCTGGAAGATTTTCTCTTTTCTGGGGAAGACTGGATAAATGGATTTGGGTCCACCCCCCTCCCCCTTAAGGAATAAGCCAAAAGAAATCAATTTCGGATGGCTAAGACAAGTTCCATTTGTCAGGCTAGACTTGGCCGACCTGAGCAACGTGAAATCCTTCAAGGAGCGGTTCTCCAGGGAAAAGTACGGCCTGCGCCTGAAGTGCAGGTCTGACCGTTGGGTGTGCTTCCTTTTCGGAGTCGGTATCCTGTTTGGGTTGGTTTTAACAGGCATCCAAAAGGAAAACCACCTTTTGGGAGGTGCTTTATTTTTGGGGGCAATCCCAGTTTCACGGCACATCAAAGTTTGACAATGGGCCCCTACCCGCCAGAAAGGTTCTCAGACCCCTTCCAGCGCTCGAAGAACGTGTCCAGGGTGGGTTTCTTCCCAAGCCTGCGAGCGCCGAGCCACCGTGCCACAGTGGCCGTTGAGCTGAGGCGATCATATTGATGTGCTTTTGAACAATGCCGGTGTAATGGCGATCCCCACCAGACAGACCACAAAGGACAGGACCAGAGGCAGCACGTTTTCTTGCAAGTCAATGTTGCACCCAGCACAAGTCAACTCTTAGAGTTAAACTTAGGCTGCTGGGCCAGCTTGACGAAGCCAGTAACGATCATTCAGTGGTTCGTTCAGTTTCTGTGAGCCACTGTGAGCACATCATGATTGAAGCTTCGTTCTGCAGATTGCGGACTTTCCCAACTGCGAGACCAGCCAATGACCAACTGCGCAGGATGGATTTGAGGAACAGCTGGGCGTAAACCACTTGGGACACTTTGCAGCTCGGACGCAGTCAGCACACAAAGGGCGGGCGGCCCGCCCGATCCTTGCCACACATGCAGCTTTTGGGAGTTTGCATGCCAGAGCCTTGCACAGTTTCAAGCCGGGCAGAGTATGTCACATGACGCTTTGCAAAAGCTCGCTTTGGTACTTGGTCGTGGTTTGGACCGCATATTCACTCATTTTGCGGCTCAAGGCTCACGGAAGCACTTGGATCTTGCGTACGCGTGCGCACCAGCCAGCAGAGCCTGCATCACACAGGCGGAAGCAGCTTCTGAATCTGACAGCCGGCATGGATTGGTGGTGGGGTTCGAACCTTGACCCAACCAAGCGGGAGAGCCCCTTAACTCTCCAAGCCACCAAGGCAAACTATTGGGAGTTGAATGTACGCGTGCAGATGCTACAGGAAAAGCGGGCATTCACTTTTCTGCTCGCTGGTTTCGAACGCGTCGCCATGGTAAGGGTTCAGCCCATCCTTGCGCGACCCTGGGTGCATATTCGGAATGACGCCCGGCTAGAAGGTTGCAAAGCAAGCCAGATTATCAACCGGATGTGTCTTGTTGTTGATTTATGGTTGCTTGTTATTCGATGCTTTGTGTTACAGTTATGTCTGTTTCTTGTTGCTTCACAAACCGAAAACTCTACCCTTCCGACGTCGAATGGGAGCAAGCCTGTAGCATGGCCCATTGGAAGATGGGAGTGAGATTTCTGCGTGACCTGGAACACAGTGGCAATAACAACCCTTGGCTCATGTTACATCTCTGACCTGGTCTAGAATAACACCTCAAGTCAGGGCATTTCTATGCATACCTTATTTTTACATGTCACTCGCTCGACGCAACTTATGAGCTCAGCAGTCCTATCAACAAGTCATCGTGCACACTTTTCGCAAGGCATACTTGGAAGCCAGGAATCCTCAAGGCCGTGCATGCAGAGTCTGATTTTCTTCCAGATCCCCAACCCCTTGTATGGAAGGGGGGTCATATCCTCATAAACGGGACCCTTCCGCCTTCCTACCCTGCGGTGCAAGAAAAAACCATGCAATGACCGGGCCAGACCCACGGTTTCCCAGTTTTTGGCCGGGATCCTTCTGGGTATGTTTGCGTGCAACCCATGTTGAGGTCAAGCATGCTCTGGGAGAGTGAAGACAAGAGGGTCTGTATCAAAATGGGGGACCCCTCGACCCCTCCCCTCTCCAAAGAAAAGTCGGTTCCTGCTCTTGCCTTTTTTTTTTGCGAGAATCAAAAGGAGGTCCCCCGAATAGGACACCCATACACACAAATCCGAAACGGCCACCGAGTAAGTATTGCGCCTTCGTGTTTTGCCGGCGTGAGGCGACGGATTTGTCGCACCGGCCATCCTGGCTTGGGCACGACCACTTGCAGAACCTTGGGCTTCATAGTGCAATGCGTGTGCACTGTTTAGTCATCTCAGTCAGTCCAATGGGCCCCCAGGATTGAAAAACCTCTGGATGATTTTTCAGGCGAGTGTCCTATTCAAAGGGCAACCTTCGCTTTCTGGGGGAACACCGACAAATTCGTTGGCATCGGACCCCCTGTCAGCTGCCATGTCCACGTTTGAGGGAGGGAACTGTCACTGCTTGTCAAGGGGGGTTGGCCCACTTGAAAGCCAAGGTTTACCGAGCGGCTATTCAGCAAGGGGATTCAGTCGCACCCCATCCTGGTGGCACAGACGCTGCACAAGCTGAAAGGGTGAGCTGGGGTGCAGTGAGCAGAAATGGTTTGGCAACGACAGCTGTGCCACGCACATGGGGTGTGCCACCCTCCCTAGCGATTTGTAGCTCAATTGCTTGGCTTCTTTGTGAGGGAGGTGAACTTAATCAGCCTCATCCCTGCGTCAGCCGCAACAGGATCCCACCTTGTAAAGAGTGTGGCTTTTAGATGCATCCTTCACATCCCTTCCCGGAGGGATGTGCCTCATGTGGCCTTTGCTGGGCGGTCCAATGTGGGCAAGTCCACACTCCTGAGCCTCGGATTCCTATTGGACGCCTGGGTTAGACTCAAGATCCAAGGAACCCTGGCCGGCAGCATTTGGCACGTGAATGCGCAACACGCATGCTCCAAGCAACTCGAGCATGGCCAAGCCAAGTTGTGCCCAGGAATATGCTACTTCATGGCAGGCCCAACCCTGTGCCACAGCACATGGCTGAGCGCTACTTGGCCGCACTGAGTTGCAAAGCGTTGTGCGGCTTGCGCTGGGATCTTGCCAGTCAGATCCGGCGACGTTTGGGCGCTCTGTAGTCTAAAGCATTCCACTGGAAGAGAAGAAAGAGTCAAAGAAAGGGAGGGAAAGAAAAGAGAGGCCTGGCTACCGAGGCAAGAAGCTGTTTGACGCTAAAGCAGCACCGGTTTCAGCAACGCCGGGGAGGCCAGCAGTGATTGCGCTTCTGGAGGGCTGAAGGGATGTAAGCGTGCATCCTTGAATGCCAGTAGAGCCGGCGAAGCCGGTGGATAGAAGTTTCTAAAGCGAGAGGAGTGCCTATAGGAAGAGCTTGGCTTGTTTTTGTTTGGTTGCGCTCTTTCTTTGTCTCTTTCTTTTTCTTTTGTTCTTTCCTTTTCTTTCTCCTCTTCCCGAAGAGTGTATCTTTGGCCTCCACACGCTGTGCACAGAAGACAATCCCAAACTAACAGAAGGAGTCAAAACCGGGGGAGATTAAAGCAGGGACCACCCTACCGTAAGAGTGTATCTTTATTTCTTTCTTTCTTTCTTTCCTTCCTTCCTTCCTTTCTTCCTTCCTTCCTTCCTTCCTTCCTTCCTTCCTTCCTTCCTTCTTTCGTTCTCTCTTTCTGTCTTTCGTGCTTTCTTTCTTACTTTCTATCTATCTATCTATCTGCATTTTCTCTTTCTCTTTCTCTTTGTCTCTCTATCTCTTTGTTTCTTTCTTTGTTTCTTTCTTTGTTTCTTTCTTTCCGTCGTTCTCTCTTTCTGTCTTTGTATTTCGTGCTTTCTTTCTTACTTTATTTCTATCTATCTATCTATCTGCACTTTCTCTTTATCTTCCCCTTTGTCTCTTTATCTCGTTGTTTCTTTCTTTATTGCTTTCTTTCTTACTTACTTTCTATCTATCTATCTATCTATCTATCTATCTGCAACTGACCTTGCGAAAGTGCCGCGCCTGCCACGAAATCTGTACCTGACCTTGCGAAAGTGCTGCGCCTGCCACGAAATCGGTGCACCTGCCACGCGATTTACGCCTTCGGCTCTGTCTTTCTCTCTCTCCTCCCATTTGATCTATCTATCCATCTATTTATCTATCACCTGACCTTGCACGAAATCTGTACTTGACCTTGCGACGTGTTGCGCCTGCCACGAAATCTGTACTCGACCTTGCACGGGCACAAATTCTGCGCCTGCCACGAAATCTGTACCTTAGGTTGCCAAGGCGCTGCGCCTGCCACGCAAAATGAACCTCCGAAAACCTCTGCGCGAGCATTACAGTGGGCAACATCCCGACCCCGTGGCGATCCCGCACGCTGAACAGGGGTACCCTTTGCGTGTTGCGCGTGCTAACTCTACTTGCGCATTTCTAACTCTTCTTTTCGTATTGCGGAAGTTATCTAACTAAACTTCCTTTGGTGATTATCGCATATGTCAACAACCATCAAACTCGTTATTCCGTCACCCACGTTTGAACACGGCCGGTGTTGGTGTTAACTGTGGAACATGCATGTTGCGTGCTTGCGAGGTTACATTTCACTTGGCAAACAACCCACCGTGGAACTGTTGTTCTTAGTGCCCCCCTGGTTTGGCGGGCTGGGTCGTTGCAGGATCCTTGGTTGGTCGGCCGCCCTGGTTGGTAAGTCGAACGCCAAGTAATTTTCCTTACCTTAGATTAATGGGTTAGGTGCATGATTTTCTATGGAGGACTATCACTTTCTATGGAGGGCCATTGTTTCAGGTTTCTATGCTTGTCGTTTTGTGCTTGTGTTTTTTCTCCGGGCTGCCTTTTTTGTGTTCGGCTTTTTGGGGCTTTTTCACTCTAAACCCACCCTCAGCCACAACTAAACCAACCTTAAACCAAACCCCCCCCCCCTACACCAGCTCTAAATCCACCCGAAGCCAGGCCCAAACCAACCTAAACCAACCCAAAGCAAGCCCTCAACCATAAACCAGCCCTATACCAACCCTCTGCACCCGCCCTAAACCCATCCGAAACGGGCAAAATAATAATCCGCAAATCCACCCTAAGCAAGCCCCAAGTAAACCCTAAACCCATCCTGAACCAGATTTAAACCCACCCCAAACCAACGCAAACAAACCCTAAGCAAACCTCTTCGCCAACACCATCCCCAAACTACCCTAAACCAACACCCTAAACCAAACACAACCCTAAACCAAACACAACCACAACCCTAAATCGGCACCAACACTGAACCTTCCCCAAACAAGAGCTCAAACCTGCCCAATCCCAGACTAAGCCAAAGCTTTTGGTGACGCAAGGGGCCAGGCGTGTTGAAAACCTGGGAAGCTGGCAACAGCCTGTTAGTTTTACTGGCCGCACCGCCAGGACGCGGCACCTTTTTCGCTTCGAGTTGGGCGGAGCTATGATTCTAGCTGACCTTCCTGGGTATGGCTACGCCCGCGCTTCTAAGGAGGCTGGACCGTGTCATATGGCCTTTGCAAGGCTCCAGGTCCAGGTGAGCAATGGCCACGCGCTGAGGGGATGACATTCGGACCAATTTCCCAGGTCAGGGGAAAAATATTGACTCGTGCTCAGGTGCAGGAAGGCTGGAGAGAACTGGTGGATGGCTATTTGTGCCTTGGTTGCCACCATTTGTTGATCCGTGCGGCTGAACGCCTGTTTGGAAGACTGCGCGCGCCAAGGACCAACGCAGACCGTCTCGAACGTGTGGTCTCCCTGGTGGACGCCAGGGTTGGCGTGAAATCCTCCGACGAGCCTTGCCTGAGATGGGGCCCGGGGTTTGAAGAGTTCGAAATCCTCAGTTTATCGTTGAAGTTGAAGCTGGGTGTTTTTGCTAGTGCTGCTTTTCCGCATCCCCAGCATACGATCGGTCGGTCGGTGGGTTGGTTTGCCACACCCCTGCCATCTGAAGAATTCAATCGGTCAGTTTGGGGTTTAACATCTATTGCATCCGCAGTGTGGCTGTTCAAGCGTGAAAATGTGCGAGCAGCGCACTTGGACGGTTTGTTGTTTCCTTTTGGGCCCCAAACCGGTAACCCTTGAATCTATAGGTTATCAGCCGTAGGCCCCTAGCTCTAAGCAATGGACGGTTCCCTTGTGCCAGTTGATGGATCCAACATGCCTATGGACGCTGTCGGAGCTAGCTCACCGGCAGCGGTGCGCGAATGTTCGCGCAAAGCGCTAATGCGCAGTATAACCGCACCCTGAGGAATTCCCTTCAACTGTACAACACCGCAATCTTTGCTTGTGGGAATGATGCAGCTATTAGGTCTGAAGCCGAAGCCCTGCATCAAGCAGCTATTACACATTTGCAAGCGGAAAACCGTGAGGAGCTCCGTGTCGCACAGAATCAGCTGCATGTACATTACGCTGAGTGTGTGCAAGCCCAGTCGCATAGAATTCGTGAATACGAACAGCGAGTGAGCGATGAGTTCATCCAAGAAGTGAACTTCACTGAAGCTAGGATAAGCCAAGTGTGTGAGGAAAATGCCCAGGCATTGCATGAAGTGGAAATGAGACGCAAAGCAACTGAGTTTAGGCAAGCCATTGAATCCACCCTGACAGACGCTCAGCAGCTCCTTCAGGAGCAAGCCGCAAAGCATGCTGATGACACCGCACGTGTCGAAGCGAAAAACGCCAGGACGATTGACATGATGGCCCACCAAAACGGGCTTCTGCAGGACGAGCTTGATGAGCTAAAAAGGTATCAGAAGCATCACGACCTCCGCGAGGATGGATCGAAGCCCAAAAGGGGTAGGCGATACCCGAGAGGATTCGCCAGAGTTGATGACCGACGACATGAAGTCGGCTCGATCGCAAAGGTCAATGTTGGACCCGTTGTCCAATCCATTTCAATATGCAAAGGCAAAGTTAAGGTCGCTTGTTACCTATGACGGATACGATGCTGAGTATACTCCCAGCATAATGCCACCTGCCGAAAGTGAAGCATTGAATGCCGATGCTCGCGATCCGCAGGGACCTGCAAAGAAGCCATCAGGTAGTGGTCGGTCTCCGATCAAAACAAGTGCGCCGGTCCCGCCCCTGCAATTCTCCCAGGGGCCAATGCCAACAGACCGTAAGCAGGGAGGCAAGCCTCCCGGCGGTCCGCCACCCGGCGATGATGGGAATGGCGATGGCGAAGGTGATGAGGACGAAGGTGATGGCCTTGGGCCCAACCTCGGCCAAGAAGCCTTCGCTAAAATGTTGATGAAGTTAGTGAAAGGTCACACGAACGACGAGAAGCCCAGAACTCGCGAAAGCGAGACGTTGCGATTCAAGGAGATGCCAACTCCTGAAACGTACCGTGAGTGGAAGACATCGGTTCGTGAGGACGTCCGCGCTGCATCCGACCGAACAGACGAGGCCTGGCCTTGGATCATGGAAGTTTGGTCTGATCGCGAGGATAAGAAAAAGCTGTTGGAAGAGCTTGGTGAACCGGGGAAATTCGTGACTCTTGACACGAAAATTCTCGCAGCGCTCACGCGCTCAGCGAAAGGTGATCTGGCTCAGCGAATTCTAACAGCAAAGGAAGAATGTGCCAAGGAGGGAAAGGCAATGAGAGGAAGGCAGGTCTTGTTTATGTTTGACCAATATTTCAAGACCAGTGAAGAAGCCGGAAACCTCTACTCCTTGGGGGACCTGTTGCGTGTCTCGCGACACGGCGAAGGGATCATTGATCTCAAGCGATTCCTAAACGCTTGGGACTCCGTGATTGCCGGCATGAAAAAGCCGCCCGAAGAAAAGGTGTTGAAAGAAGTGAGGAGCTGCCATCTGTTGCGGTACGACACTGACACATATGATCGTTGCCGTGATGATGACCCCAATAAATCGTATGATTTCCTGATGCGTTGCATGAGGGATCTGATTGAAAGGGACAGGCTTCGCGAGAACCGAGAGCGCGTGTCCAAGGTCAATGCAAGTAAAGCCCCGACGCCTAAGGCCGGTGCCGCCGCTCCTGAAAAGAAGGACCCCAAGAAAAAGAGCGCACCTAAGCCGAAGGACACCGAGGAGAAGTACTGCTTTGACTTCCAGAAGGGCTCGTGCACGAGGGGGGCAAATTGCCCTTACGCGCACCGCAAGGAGCTGCGAGGACGCCCTGCGACCCCCAAACGCAATAAGGGAGACAAAGCACCGTGCTCTTTCTTTGCGCAAGGGAAGTGCACTAGAGGTGACAAATGCAAGTTTAGCCATGCCTCCACGGGCGGCAAGTCAGCCGCTGCGGCATCGAGCAACGAGGCCAATGCTAATCCTGCGGCTAAGAATACTAAGAAGCGTGCAACCTCACCTAAGCCTAAGCCGAAGGCCAAAGCCGCTGCAGTCTGCACCAGGTACGCTATGTTCGCAAAGCCGATCAATCCGGTAATTAGGAGTGTCATTCGACATCAATGTTCATGTGCATGGGATCCCCGCCGAAGGCGATGGTTTCAAGCTCGAATATGAGGACCGGCAGTACAATAGGATGTTTCCTAATGCAAAAGACTGCCCCAGGCCGCCCAAAGGCACGAACAAGGCAGCACGCAAGGCCGCAAACCAGTTGAACGCCGTGATCAAAGCCATTGGGAATGGAGCCCAGCCCGCTTGTGGTTTCATGTGTGATGTGGAATCCGATTCCATCTCAAGCCTGTCGTGTGACGAGTGCCTGAGAATTGCCGTGCCGCCTCACGATGTCCGCAAGCATGTCGAGGCGCCAAGGGCAGCCACTCCTGCCCCAAACGGAAAGGATGTGTGGCTTATTGATTCCGGTAGTGAGCAGGACCTCATCAGCAAAGCTGCTCTGAGGAACGCATCCAAGGCGGTCCGAAAGCAGGCACCTCAGCCCATTCGCCTCGCGACTGCAAACGGAAACATCACTGCTTCCGAAATCGCCGACATCAATGTCGATGCATTGTGTGAGCCCGCACAGCCTTACATCCTTGAGAGCTCTCCCGCAGTGCTGTCGTTGGGTGTGAAGTGCCTGGATCAAGGATACTCCTTCCATTGGGAGTCCGGGAAGGCACCAACAATGGTCCGCCCTGATGGTGCTCTGATCCAGCTCAAGGTTGACGGTCATGTGCCATACATGGATTCTAGCTGTGAAGCGGAGCCATCGTTGAGTGCAGTAGCTGCATCCAAGCCAGCACCCGCACCGGTTCATGATGAAGGCATCGACGAAGGTGACGATCCTGACGACGAAGTTGAGCGGTTTGTGAGATCCCGCAAAGAGCAAGACCTGGTTGCCGAAGCAAGTACCAAAGAACACTTGTTCGCACACTATCCGAAGAATCCCTTTTGCCGCACTTGCCAACGTGCCAAGATGCTTGCCCCATATGCAAGATCAAAGGGTGGGCAGGGAAGGCTCGAGACCAAGGCATTCGGAGATCACATCATTGCCGATCATGTGATTCTTAAGGCCAACATCGAGCAAGGCATCAAAGGTGAATGGTGTGCCCTCGTGATCAAGGATGTGCATGCGCAGTTCAGGTACGTGTATCCGTCGACCAGCAAAAGCACGGAGCAATCCGTTGCAGGGATCCAGCATTTCATTTCCGGTAGGGATGAGGTTGAGGTTCTCTACACCGATAACTCCCGGGAATTGAAAGCCGCGATAGAGCAGTTGGGGTACCGTCATCAGACCTCCATTGAATATGTCGATTCCTCCAAATCGTTCGTCGAAAGGGAAATCAGACATCTATTGGAGGGAGCACGTGCGAATCTTGTTCAGTCAGGGTTCCTACTGTCGATGTGGCCTTTCGCCATTCAGCACAGCGCAGTAGCAACCAACATCCTGCCACAATTGAATGGAAACAGCCATGGTACCTAAGGTTCCACAAGACCTTTGATGAAGCTGAGATACCGTTCGGAGCAAAGGTACTGTTCTGGAACAACCCGGCACGAGCTGACAATCAGGCAGGCAAGACTTCGCCAACGTCAAACGAAGGCGTGGTTCTCAGGTACCACATTCAGCCTGGGTTCGCATGGAAAGGTGAATTCCTTGTTGCAAAGCTAGAAGGGCTCGATTATCATATCGAACATGCGTCCCTCACGGTACAGCGATTAGCGACGACAACATTATCAAAACAGTACAATTTATGCGAGGAACACATCATATGCTGTTTATGCTTTCGATTTTGCGCCCCGCAATGGGCAGCGTAGCCGAGCTGATCCGCACGCACGATTGTACTGTGCGTCCCATCGACCAGCACGAGCAACGCAATCGAAATGACAGCACTGTGAACGTGGAGGTTCTCGCGTACTGCAAGGAGACGCTTACAAAATGTGGAGTGAGTCTGTCCGAAATGGTCGGCCTGCCGTTCACAAAGGAGGAGGTCGAAACCAGACAGCCCCTTGACTTCGCCCCGGTGAATCCAGCTGACTTTGCTCCTGCCACCGGTCCTGTTGGCACTGACATCGTTCAAGATGTTCGCCCGGCGCAAGCCGGTGCAAAGGCAGCTGCGGTGGCGAAAAAGGTCGAGGAGGTCCACAAGTCCGAGCCTCTTGAGGTCACTACGATTGTTGGGTTTACAGCACCTACAAGGGCGAGAACTACGTCGACTACGGTGAAGGTGCAAAACGGCTCATGGTTGTCAAGCAGCCCAAGTTCGACTACGATCCCTCCGTCCGGCGCATCGATGACAGGTATCATCGATCGCTGACCTGTATCTCGAAGATCCTCAGGGGCCGAGGTACAGAGGGGTGCGGTTACCGAATGGACAAGGACGGGTACATGGACCTCGAGGATTTGCTCCGCAAGGAGCTGCGACATCCGATTCCATGGAACACGCAGAACATCATGGAGATCTTCAAGCTTGACAAGAAGCAGAGGTTCATTGCGCTTGGCTGCCCGGACGCAAGCCGGTGCGGAGATGTCCCTTGTTCTCATTGGCTATTCAAAGTGAAAGCCTCTCAGGGACACGAGGACTGACTCTGGGATTGCCAAGCTGTGGTATGTCAACCCTGGAACCGACCTCGGTCGGTGGGCCGGCTGGAACGTTTGCGATGATCCGCCAACGGTGTTGTACCACCGCACGGACAAGCGCAATTTTGCAAGCATCATGCGGCATGGTTTGGTGCCTGGTGGTGGAGACCAGCATGAGACCGGACGTCCACATGTTTACTTTGCAGACGTTCCAAGCACCAGCGACCATTATGTCTCGCTTGAGATTCAGATCGATCTTCGCATGGCGATTCGTGCCGGACTATGCTTCTTCAAGACCGAATCGGATGGTGTGCTCACTCGGGACAAGGTCCCGAACTACGTCATTCTTTCAATATTGGACGCCACCAACGGAGACGTATGGTATACACGCTCTGAGCAATCAGAAGCAGGTGCTACCGCAGTATCTGCCGATGATGACAGCTTGGGTATGAAGCGTGAGCAGGCGGTTGCCGACGACCGCACCATGGCTTTGGAGCGAATCGCCACGACAAGGACAAATGCTGCTTCACCTCGCGCCCCGCAAGGGGAAGCGAAGAGGCAGAAGACTTTCAATCCCATGGAGAATGTGGAAATGAAGGTCGCCAAATGTCCTGTCTGCAACAATGATATCTTTGAGGGGCAGGTCAATTGCACTATGTGCGGACAATTATCTCCCCTCAACCAACGCCTCTTGAAGGATTCAAGCAGCGCTCCAACCTCCTCAAGAAGATGGGCCTGAGCACGCACGTCACTGCACAGGTCCTGGTACAAGCGACCTCCGCGAGGAGGATCGTATCAGCATCGTCAGAGGCCTGAACTCCCGGACAGCGCCGTGATTCAGGAGGGCCGAAAGAAGTTGAAGTCCGCCCTGAAGAATGGCTACCATTCGCTCATCGACCGCTACGAGCTCGATTTGCAATACAGAGTCAGAATGATTGAGGCCGGGCGCCGGGAGGCGGATATGCTCCGCATGGAGCTGTGCGCAAACCTGGTACTTGCGGCTCCGAAACAATCGCAAGCCCAGCGTACGCTTGGTGTTGGTCTGGGATCAACTTCCGAGTCGCGAATCGCAAGGCTCGCGTACGTGAAGATGGAGCTTGAGCTCATGGTCCTGCAGCTGAAGGATGCACTGACGTCGCGTTGGATCATTATGTTCCAAGGAATGCCATACTCACCCCGCGCCTTCGTTCACATCGTTCTGGAGCAGGACAAGCCTCGCAGCATAGGTTGCTGGAAGGGGGTGATTCACCTAACCGGCCGGAACGAAGACGAGCTTCGTCAAGAGTTGGACTGGGTCTTCGGGCAAAATGAGCGAGCCGCGTGGAATTCTGTGGAATTCTCACGCAATGAAAGCGGGAAACATCTTGCCCGCAATGCGGAACGCTACGCCTCCAACGCCTCCTATGCTTCTCCCGCCGCCCGCGAGGGCGAGCAGTGGGGCAGCACGGAGTGGGATGACTGGTGCAGCAGTGGATGGAGCAATTGGGGTGGAAGCAGCGGCAGTGGCCAACAGTCAAATTGGCGGTGGCGTTAAAAACGCACCCGTCATGGAGTTGCATGTGCAGATGAAACCCGACCGTTCTTCCCTCTGTTGTGTTTCTGTTCGGCTGCTTTGTGAAAGGCCCCTTTAACACGCAGAGGGGGGTGAAGAATTCAATCGGTCAGCTTGGGGTTTAAACTCTATTGCATCCGCAGTGTGGCTGTTCAAGCGTGAAAATGTGCGAGCAGCGCACTTGGACGGTTTGTTGTTTCCTTTTGAGCCCCAAACCGGTAACCCTTGAATCTATACCATCACTAGCCTCACTTGGATCTGGGGCCTAGGGATCGAATACACTTCGTCGCAGGCGCCAGTGCTCAGCTGGCTCAATTTAGCAAAGGTTTTCTGCTGCGTCACGCAGTCAGGTCATAAGGCTTGCCAACAACACACTTTGACTTTGGTCTATCCTTGGCAGCTGACTTTGAAAACCACAACAAGAAGCCGGAGGCGCGAATGCAGCAGAAACGCGCGCGAAACGTACTGAACATTTGGCGGTTTAGCCGCAAAAGTGAAAAGGCGTGACTTTCCAGTCGGACTTGCAAACGAACTCGGTCTGTTATGAAACAGCTTCGCAGCCGCAGATGCCAAGGTGAAAGTTGTGTGTGCTGCCCGCACACTGGAAACGGCCAACTTTTGCTTGGCAGCTTTTGGCGCGTTGCAGCAAAAGCTTTCCTCAGTATCGACAATTTGCAAAACCTTTGAAGGCCAAACACGTTTGTTGTCGGTGGTAACATGCAAATGGGCCAGAAGCTGCTCGGAAACGTAAATGCAATCAGACCCCTGAGCCCCTCCTTTGCCCAGGAGGAGCTTTGGGAACTGTTGCAGGAGAGGGAGAGGCAGCTGATGGTCGTTTTGACCAAGGCTGGGGTGCATTGGTACCAGGGCTGAGCCTTGTTTGCGTGCGGATGATGTTCTGGATGTTAAGCTGGTCTGACATGGTTGACCCAAGTGTTTGCACCAAAGCTCAGCTACTGAAAGATTTGCTTCTCGCATTTTTGCCTAGTACCTTGATGATACTGCCAGTGGCGGACCAATCATTAGGGGAAGGGCCTAGTGTCACGAGGTGAGCTCTCGAACTATTCCGTAAGCGAATGGGTACTCTTACCAGCCTATCGGTTTCTCATGGTGCCATATTGTCGGACGTATATGTTGCTGCACTCGTATCCTGGCATGGAGGGTTTCTCCCGACTGTTGTGCCAGAAAGCAGATTGAAACGCGCTAGACGCAGGGATGCGACTGTTGCAGTTCATGCAGTGTAGCTGCAGTTGAAGAAAGTCAGAAAATATGGGCAATGCTTGAGTCAAAAATCACACACAAAGCCTGAGACGTCCTTTCTTCGGAGATGGAATCATGGAATGGTTTCAGCTAGCGGAAAGGCACCAAACTGCGTTGAGCTTGGCGCGCGAATGTTGTCCCTGGAATCATTGGATGCAGGAGGTCAGGTGCCCCTCCCAAGCCAACAGCGAAAGATCCCAACTAAAGTGGGGATTCCCCTATAATTCAACGAAAGGCTGACTCATCCCGGAACGGTAATTTGATGGGCTGGCTTTTCTTCCTGTATTCGTGTATGATCTTGGTGTGACAAACGAAAGAAAAACCGTCCCCATTGATTCCCAAAGCGTTCCCAACGGTGCACCAAGGCACCGTTGTGCACCCAGTCGTACAGCTTCACGGGTCTGAGGCTGACCAATGCACGCCGGAGATGCTCAACCGATCCATGGCACATGTTGTGCGCCTTAGCGATTTGGGGGGGTGCGGGCGGGGAGTGGGGGCGGGGGTCAGATTGGGGGCCTTGTTTGGTATCACCTAGAGAAGGCGGCACGTATCGGCGTCACCGGCCGTGTTTGATACCCGGAACATGGCTTGAATCAAACGCAAATTAGAGTCAGCACGGATTTTGCGTTGCCATGATAATTGCCGAAGACCTGAGGTCATTGTTGGAGATGATGCAATCAAGCTATGTGTGGCCCTACGTGCATGCCGTGAGCGGCTTGCACGGCCATGGAGTCAAAGAGCTCCGAGCTTCCATTAGCATGATAGCATCTGACTTTGTCACGCGGCAAAAGCGCGAGGGAACACTCCAACAGGACGGCCTGGATTACACGTAGGTTGTGATTATGCGTTGAACGGTTGGCACGGATTCATCTACATGCATGGTCACATTGAGCGACTTACCCACTCAGATGTTAGCACCCAATTGCAAGCGATGAAGTTGCTGCAGCAAGGGCTGCAGACGACTGAGCCTGTCGTAAATTACATACTGACCGGTGCTCTCCCACCAACGCGGAACCCTCCAGAGGGTTGCAGGAAGTGGAGTCCAAAGCAGGGACCTGAGGTGGCAGTGTGGGCCAACGGCTTTCGGCTTGAATCAGCCAATTGCAAGCACAATTCACCCCCCAAAATGGGTATCTGCGGGAAGACGTTGGCCAGATCGCTGTCACCAACCCATGTTCGGCAGAACGACTGGTATCTGCCATCCCGGAAACGGGCGGGCCGTTGCGGAAAGCCGAGGCCTTGACCGCAGAGCTGCTGCCGCTCTTGAAGAAGGCACGCTGCACGCGCCCCAAGGCGAAATGGTCGGCAGCCAGCTGTGGACCCTTTTTTTTGGGTCCGAACTCCGAACTGGGAGTCAGCGGGGCCAGGAGAAGAATCACCCAGATGGCTGATTTAGAGAATCCTGGGCGGTTGTACGTACTGATGGGTGAACGCGCAATTCCAATTCCCATTTGGGTTTGGTCACCGCCTTTCCCCACTTCTGCCAATTGCTGGCCATTCGGTCATTTGACTTCGAGGTAGGTCCTTAATTCAGTTTCGCCTACTTTTGGGCACCTTTTCACACAGCTTGGTGGCCTCGCCTGGGGAAACTCGTTTGCATCCGGCCGGAGGTGCACTTCCAAGGGATCGCTCCTTTCCTTCCTGATTCGGACTCCTGATTAACACTTGCCCAAAGCCAACCTTCCCCGTTTTTGGTCCAGTGTTCGTCATAACCCCAAAAGGTGAACCGTTTATTTCTGTGCCCTTTGCGCAAAAGAGAATGTGAGACCCAAAGAAGCGCGATTCTTTTTGGTTCGCCTCCGTTTGGGCAGAGGGGTGTTCAGCTCTGGCCCGTGCAAGACAGCCAGGCACCATCGGCGCGAGTGGTGGCGGTGTCCAGCACAGCGCACCTCGGTGCCAACAAGGAATTGATGCAAGGACCGGCAGGAAAGCACCTCACATTTCCTTCCGTGAGGTGATGCAAATGTTTGTCCACCCCCAACTAGTCTTTTGGCTTTTTAGTTCCAGGTTTGGGTTGACTCATGAATGACTTTGGCATCGCGTCGCTTGTGCTTGCAGGCGTGCCGCGTGCCATACGTCCACTTCCCCATACTTCCCCCCAACCAAACAACTTCACCGGAACACACGAAGCACGCAACGGGCGCTCTGAGCACTTTCTAGCCCCAAGCGCTGCACCTGTCACGCAATTTGGACGCTTGACAGCTCTTCGTTTTGCCTCTCTTTTCTTCTCCTCTTTGCCTTTCTCTTTCCTTCCGCTCTCATCTACAAGTGCAAAGCGGCCTTTTCTTCTCTTTTTCTCTTCTCTTCTCCTGCCGCTCACATCGGCTTTTGGACGACAGCTAGCCTTCACTTAGCGCCAGTGCTGCAGAAGTGTTCTTCTAAACTTCCTTTAGGTACATTTTACTGTTTTATCGCGCTATGAGGTTGCAGTTGAGGCATGCTGGGTGTCCCCTGCCAGGAGATTTGATGGCCCCGGATCGCTACACGCAATGGGGTGCGCCGATCCCTTCGATTGGAATTTTCGCCATAGATGTAGCAAGTGTCTGTACGGCTGAAGGGTGAGCTCTTATCTTCCAACATTGGGCAAGTGTGGTTCCATCAGGAAAAATGTCCGACATGCAGCATGCTGGCCAGGTGCCTATTGCCAGTCCAAGTTGGCCAATGTCTTGTTCGCGAAAGAGCTGAACCGGAGATTTCAGGAGGCAGACCCCATGTTGACACAACGAGCTGTTTGCGCAAAGCTTGCTACTTGCCTCTTTTTTTGGTTCGACATGCACATGGCAATGAACGTGGCGTGCCTGTTGCTCATCAAGTTGGCGTGCGAATCCGCAGTGTTTTCTCCAAGCAATTCTAATAATCAGCATGCTTGGCCAGTCTTTCGTGCGGATGCGGCCGTCAGGGCAGCCCAAGGCGGATGATTGCGATGAAGTTCCGCCGATGCCGGACTCACCGAAGCAACCGAGGGCCTCCTACTTCGTTTGGGAGGTGCCTGGCCTCCATTGCCCGCCTGCCTCGCCCAATCGTGCACTCCATGAACGAGGACAGGGAGGGTTGATGGTAGACAGAATGGAAGGGTAGGGTAGAGAACCCCACCCCAAGTGCCCTGAAATTCAGGTTATCGTCTCACAATAAAATGGAAATGGGCCTCAAGGTGGTTGTGAGGGATGAAATTGAAGAAACGAGAGCAAACCGTCTTCCGGGGTGCGGCTAATTGGGGCGGAAGAGTAGCGTTTGAACGTTCAACCTGCAGGAGTGAAGAAATTGGACAGATTCTTGTGCCAAGTGGGCGAGAACCCGAACGCCTTCAAGCGCTTTGTAAAGTCGAAGCGCGGCTACAGCACTTGGCGAAGCCTCCTTGGGCTTGACTAGAGAAGTTTGATGGACTTTCCAGTCGGGGGTTTGAAAGAATAGGGGTCAACATGTTTGGCATAGGCCGCACAAGGATCTCAGAACCGAGATCCAGAAAGGAGCCATCTTAAGAGACCGCTGCCAATCATTCTGAGCAGGGCGGATGTGGCCCGAGACCCTACGTGTCGAGGTCACATGACGATTCGCCAATTCTTACGCGATTAGTGCCTCCCCTGCACATGCTGACGGACAGAAAATCGTGCGCCAAGCTGGGCATCAATAATGGAATTCACATGAGGCTTAGTTAAACAATTGCAGTAGTCCATGGTTCATTTGGGGGAGACATGAAGGAAAACGACGAATTCCCGAAGAATCAATGGACTCACTGACTCATTTAATTGTTCAATTGTTCTAGGCCCTTTGGAGGGATACTCAGTTTTGCCCTTGCCTCACATTTGGATCCATTCCTGATTGCTCTTGGAGCTTTACTTAGTTTCTGCGTCACTGACAGCTTATGCCAGCTTGGGCGGCTGTTCCAGGACGCCGACAGGCCAAGCAGCCGAACCCTTGCCGCTGCTCCTGTTTGCGGAGCTGGGGTCAGTTTGAAGGCCAGTTGTGGTATATGAATTTGAGTACTTCCGTGTTTGTTTTGGTGACCTCAGAAGAATCAGGTCACCCTCAATTGGTGGTTTGGATTCGTTGGGGATTTGACTTGCCTCTTGAAATTCGAATGGGATTTACCACACCACCAAACCAATGCAACCACCAGCTGATGGAAGACCCTGAGAGTCCGCGGCTTGGGATCCGGCGGCTTCTTTTCACCTCCCATTTGATGGCCTGGAACCATGGACTGAACAGTCCTTAAAAGATCGCCATTTTGCAGCCGTTTGAATCATGGCCTTTTCCACCGAAATAAAGGGACACCGCCAATTACAAGTTGCAATGTTCAGGCCTGCTGAATGGCAAAGTTCAAGCAGGAGACAGGCCGTGCAACAAGCAGCCGGACTGAAAGAAGATACGATACGGCAAGCTCGAAGTCCAGACTGGGCCTGGCCCAGTTGTTTCAAGTGTGGACTTCGGCCTTCGACGCCAATCACAAGGATTGTTTCAAACTCTGCAAATGGAAAGTGGTGAAGTCCTTGAAGGCTGCATGTCTTTCGGGCACTCCAGTGCCCACAGGGCACGGCTGTGCCAAAGGCGACTGGGAGCAGATGCACACGACAGGGCCAAGATATCCAGGCTGAGTCCGGTGCGTATCCATCCCTCCTATTATGCCAAATGGCTTTTTTTTTCCCAGACTTGTTTTTGCCTTACGGAGTGCGGAGTTTCGGAGCTGCAGTCCCCCATTTTGATCCGGCAGAATCCGACCCACAGCTCAGGTTTCATCACCTCGAGCTCCAGGAAAAGGTGTGAAGTCTGGGTGTGGATTCCGACAACTGTAGATGCTGTATTTTTGGTCCAGTGCTGCATTTCTTCCTTTTGGTCACTCTGGGTTTGAATCCTGAGGGTGCCCTAGGGTAATTTGTGAGCTGCGCAGTTTGGCATGGACGAACCCATTAAGCAACATGCACTTTTGGTTGCTTGTCGGTGCTTTGTACGCGTTCAGGCCTTTGGGACGCATGCTTGCACGCCGCGGCGTTTGCAATGCTCAAGTTTCATTTGTTTCTTTTGGCAGGCATTGTGACGCCATGACTCCTGGAATGTCGCTCGCAACCATGCAGCCTTCTGCCAAGCCAGAGGAGAACTTGGCAGACGTGGAGATTCCAGAAGGAGAGCCGCCCATGCTATTGGTGTCTCCCCGGCCTTCGTACTACAACTGGGACATGCCGCAAAACGCAAACGAGGTGTTTGCACCCAACCGACTTTTGCACGATTACGGATACTTGGCACCCAATTGCCTCTTTGATTAGCATGCTCTGAACCTGAAGACCGGTTTTGCTACCTTCTGTGACAACTTTCCCTTGCGCGGCTGCAGACAGCCATTACTCAGTCTAATTCACTGATTAGGCAAGGGAATTGTTGAGCATAGTAGCCGAGGATTGCGGGAGATGGACAAGTTTCTGAAGGCAGTTGCAGTCTCACCGCAGGAGCTGATATCAGAAGTGCGCTCGAAGCGGACCCGTCAACAGAGCATCTAATATCACAGAGTGCTCGAGACCTGCAAGAGAACATGGCACAAGTGGTGCCAGTTGAGCTTCCTTCGCGGAGTATATGCCTGCAGGGAAGCTCATTGGAGTGGAGTTCCTGTTGTGTTTGGCCTGATGGTTTTGCGACACCGGCCGTTTTTTTGGGGTCTCCAGTCGGACTTGATGCGCAGTTGCTATCATTTGCTGATTAAGAATCAGTACCTGCTATAACCTGTTTAAAGTGCAAACTGCCTCAGCCTGGAACGCCGATGCTTTGTGGCTCACGACTTCGCTTGTACGCGACTCGATGTAGTTCAGGTGGCAGTTAATACTGCTGTGACGAGAGAGGTGCCATCCCATGCATGGCAGCTTCAGCCAATGTGTTTCTTCTCCCGAGCGCGGTCCACTCAAAGGCAGTCTTTGACCTGGGGTCTCTGAATTATGTGTGTTTCAAAGGTTGGTTGCATGTATGAAAGCAGGATTAGACTTTGTTTTTGCACACCTTGGGGTTGCCACAGCCGTTCGACACGGGCCTGGTCTGGCCTGGTGTAAACGAGTTGGTCTCTGAAGGTTCTCGGGGGACAAAAACACCTTGGCATGGGACAAGGACGTCGGCCAGACTGCGCTCCCGAGCCAACAATGCAAAGGCTTTTTCGCAGCCCTCGCGCCGTTCATCAGTATTCCTTAGGTGGAAACACGTTTTGCTTGTTGGCTTGAGAGATTGCCAACTTCTGCTGGAAGTTGCGCTCTGGAAGTTGCGAATCAAGTTCCGGGTCAGCTGGCCTTTAGAGGGGATCCTTCGTATTGCCCCTTGCCAGATGTCAATTTCTGAACGACACCGTGAATTGCATACTCCAAAGGAGACGGCTTTCGCGTGTCCGGCACCGGGTGCCGGGTGCCTCAGCTGTTCCACACACAGCTGGGGTAGGCCAGGTGCAGCCGAGAGGCAGTTTCTATCTTATTACTTAAGGCAAGGCTGCTCAGTGCAGGTTCTGAAAAGCAGGTTGCTGCTTTGGCGTTGTCATGTGTTATCAATTGGAATCTGAGGAGCTGAGCCAAAGACTGCCCGAGCTTGCGTCGCGATGGAGCCTCCGTCTAAGGGTGGAAGTTTCCCCTTGTTCGTGCCCCTTGGCCTCCGTGGTTTCCAACTTTATTGTCAACGCTGCGCGTTGCCCGCCTTGGCCCAGCCGAGCGCGCAGCGTCTGTGGTTCGACTGCAAGCAGCAGAGCTGGTCAAGTGGCGATTCAGGCATGGACAGGTTCTGGCGTCGTTGGACCAATTGATGTCATGGCGATTCAGGACCAGGAGTGAGTCATGGAGCCAGACAGGGGGCTTGCTTGGGTTGGTGGAGGGCCTGGGCTGGCTGGGCCTGAGGCAAGTCTCAGACACTGGTATGCCCTAGCTTGTCTCAGACGTGAGTCTGGTCTCCGACATGCCTGGTTGAGATAAGGCTGGCTTGTCTGATGTGCCTTCTTGCTGGCTCAGCGAGTCGCAAATATTGGGCAGCCGGATGGCGGGCCTGCCTGCAGCCTGATTATGTGCAGTGTTACAAGCTCCCGGTTGGGCTGGGCTGGGAGGCTGGTCTCGGACACGTCAGACAGGCCTGGCCAACTTTGGGAAACGAGATCTGAGCCCCTTGGGCCAAGGCGAATAAGGGTTAGATACCCCTTTTGCCAAAAAGCATTTTTTGGGGAGAGGGGTATGAGCATCAGCGCCTGTTGGGTTCATTTGGTGAAGGGATATTGAAAAGGGGTATGTACACGCACC